CATGAGAGTGACGGAATGATGACAACATGTACATTTTTTAGGTGAACTATCCTTTTCAATAGATTTATTCTTTCAATTAATTTATCATAAATCAGTTCTGCTAATTAAAGTGAATTGATTCAAAACTTAATTTATCAATCTATTCATTAACATTGTGTTAAAATGTAGTTGTTAGCTTCAGGGCTATTGAGAACTATACATTGAATATTGTGAAATAATGTGAAATAATCCTTTTTACTATACTATACTATACTATATTTTACCCTGTAGGCCTGGACGATATAGTTATGAGGTAAAAGTATAACAAGGGTTCATATTCAGGAAACAGGGATTGGGCACTCCTTTATTATACAAAGTTAAAAATACCACAGTCACGAAAGAGCCCTCCCCCATAACAAAAACAGGAGCAGGCCATGAGTCTGCCAGGCGGCCTCCTGTAAGACATCTTTATGACAGCCTTTCATGCTTCTGTGGTGATATTGCAGCAAATGTGCATTATACTGTATGTATGTCATATTTGACCTCTCAAAGCTGCTTTAGCTCTATCTCAAGCAATCCCTAGCAAAAGTCACAGAAGTACCATGTATGTGCATGTTTATTAAACCAAAATGGGAAAAAGAACATAAGGTCACGTTGACAGGATTGTGGTGTTATGATGGACAGTTAATCAATGGATGCCTTGCATTACAGAGCGAAATGCAATTTAGCTGATATTAATAAATGTTGTCAGAGAGACGTCAGATTGCAACAAAGGCTCTTTTTAAGTATGACAAGCCGGTATTATTTCAAACCGTGTACACGATACATCTGTCTGGGTTGAATCAGTAAAAGCTGTCTAATCTGCTTTAGGCCAGTACACACATAAATCACACACCTTGAAAGAACTAACTGACAGAAGCATGCATTTATTTGAAAATAATTTTTCACCTAGAAAGTTTATATAATATTTTATGATGAAACCTTTACAAACTTTTTTCACTGCTGTGTCTTGGGATAAAAAGCTCTGAAGTCTCTGTCCTGAACTGCATGACACATGCAAATAGCATTTGTTTATTTATATTTGAACTATTACATGTTATAAAAAACTATTATCTAACATAAAATGTATCTAGTATGAGAAGTAGCTATAGTTTTAAACATCAAATGTCAATTGTGTCCGTTAGACTGTCTTGACCTTCTCGACAATTAAAATCATATAACGACATAAATTTGATATTACATGTTGAACTTAATTCTTAATTTATTTTAGTAAAGAGAAATTTGGTTACACTTTATTTCGATGGTAGACTTTAGACCAGGGGTCTCAAACTCGCGGCCCGCGGGCCATTTGCGGCCCGCGGGGTGATATTTTGTGGCCCCCTACTTGACATTAAAGTTTAATGTTAGTGCGGCCCGTCGTTGCGTGTGCCGCGTAAAAAAAAAAAAAAAAAAAAATGTATCCCTTATGAGCTACCATAGATAGTCTCGTGACAGCTTACGGAGGGTTTGTTGTCAATAGTTGTCATAGACAACCGCGAAGTACAAACATACTGCGCCTGGAAAAAACGAGCGCGTCGCTTCAATTATGAGCGCGCTTGCCGCGCGCCTACATTTGAAATTACGAACTTGAGCGCGCAAAATATGTGAGCGCGATATGTGAACGGCCCCTTGGCGAGCTACCACCAATCAGGCCACGAGCTACTGGTAGCTCGCGAGCGACGTGTTGGAGAGAGACACTGCTCTAAAACAATGTGAGAATAATCACTTTGAGCTTGTAATATGTGTCCAACAGGTTCATAAGAAGGTTTGCTTTGATTTGTGCAGTCAGTCATTTGAGACACTATACAAAGAATTCAATAAGACGGGCAGACATGACTGCAAATATTTGTATTTCAAAAGCAATAATTGTTTTTCTAAGTATAATAAAAGGAAATGTGCCTTCCAAAAAAAAACATTCAATATCATTAATGTGTTGTATAAAGAAAATAAAAAGGACATAAGCAAATATAAATATCACAAATATGTGTTATAGACAAAGAAAGTTTGTAAAATGAACTTCAACTGTCAGAAGGACAGCTCATGAAGAACCAATCATGTACAGAAAGGTATGTTCAAATTCAGAGGAACAGTTCAGAAGAAACGTTAATAAATATTGAGAAGATTGGATCAGTTGTGCTCCTTTTTTGGAATACTTGAATACTATTTTTTGTGGAATACTTGATGCGGCCCAGCCTGACCCCGACTCTAACTCCAGCGGCCCCCAGTTAATTTGAGTTTGAGACCCCTGCTTTAGACACTCCACTAACTATAAGTAACTTTGCAACTACATGTCAACTAAAATTTTGCAAAAAGTTAGTTTTTTGCTTGCAGTTTTGCAGACTTGGTCTCAAGATTAGGTACATGAGTGAATGGTTTCACTGATTGGCCCCTTAAAGGTGCAATGTGTAATAATTTTGAGTATCTATTAACAGAAATGCAATATGACATCCATAACTATGTTTTCAGTGGTGTATATAACTTACTTAATAAACCGTAATGTTTGAATTACCTTAGAATGAGACATTTATATCTACATAACCGCGGGCACCCCCTTCTATGAAGGTCGACATATTGTGACGTCATGATCTACCGTAGCCGACAGCGAACAAACAGCGCTACAGAGCGCGTTTCGTTCATACCTTGAAAGAGAAGCAGCAGAAAGCTAGAAGCTAGCCATAAACCCCCGTGAGTAGTGACTTTTCCCTTGTCAGTGGTGTAAAATATGTAGTTGGATTGTTTCATGTAACTTAGTTCTTCTCCCTCGCTGTGTTATGGCTTTGCTATGTGGGGATAAATGTGCTGGTTACGTTCGTGAGACAGCTGATTAGTAACTCTTGTCATTGACTGTAAAACAGTAACGTTACAGGAATCACCAACCCATCGATCGCGGTCGATAAGACGATCTTGGAAGCATTTTAAGTCGATCGCGAAGAGTTTTCAAAATCAGAGAAAAAAAGCCTATTGTGTGTAGTAAATGGTGTCTAGGGGATGCGGAGGCGCGCACGCTGTTACAATCATGTCAATTTTGCCGCTCGCACCTTTGGGCTCATGCGGACGCGTCGAGTTTAAACAAGGCTTTACGCTTTAACCAGCTCAGCCACAGTAACATCTCATATTAGCCAGCTAAACTTTTACTACCCTGTTAGAAAAAATATATAGTTGCATATTTTCATGTGGTTCTTCTCCCTCGCTGTATTATGGGTTTGCTATCTGGGGAGAAATGTGCTGGTTACGTTTGTGAGACAATCAGCTGATTACTATTATTATATTATATATTAAGACCCTTGATCCTCACCTGACTATGGCTTTGTAAACTTTATCCATGATGTGGTTTATAATGGACTGTGGTACAGAAACAGTGACAATGTTACACACTCTTGGCCTACTCTGGCTATTCTCTGCTGTCTCAGACGACGATATGTTTGTCCCGTTTTAGCCACCGTAGCTTCTTCGAAAGGGAGGGGTGAGCAGTGGGCTGAGCCCTTAGTGCAACTCGCAACCGAACCGCTAGATACCTCTAAAAATCACAAACTGCACCTTTAAGTATCACTTTTTAGTGTGTGAGCATTTTTTAAAAATTGTAGTATACTGTTAGTAGACTGTTAGATTAGGGTTGGGTGTTAGGGTTTAGGTTAGTAGAATAAGTTGACATGTAGTTGGAAAGTTACTTATAGTCAGTAGAATGTCTGTTGGGATCATCACAATAAAGTGTTAGAGGATATTAAGCAGACTGATACTCTAATGAGAGTTAGCTGAAATGTAGTTGAAAAGGTACTCAAAGTTTGTAGAATGTCTAAAGTGGACAATCGAAATAAAGGGTTACCAAAGATCTTTAAAATATGAACTAATTTTAAATACCAAAAATATATTATTTAGCTGGAACACATTTTCCACTCAACTTTGTTACCGCTTGATTTTCTATAAATAAATGGCAAATGTATTACAAAATGATATCATTCCTTACAATTTGCGACGTAAAGTACAGTAACATTATTAGGACCCTTTCTACAGCTTTGTGCAAGTACATAAATCAAATTTTATTAACAAATTGTAGAGTTGACAGAATTCATCAGACTCAAGCATTCATCCCTGTTACCCAAGTTGTTAAAAACAAATACATTTCTGTAATTGGGATAATATGGGAAACATACTAATTACTACATTTAACATTTGGTCCCAAACTAGATTACATTCAACCCTATTACCCACTGTTATAGGTTTTTATTTTACACTTGTGTTTTCATTTTACCATTCGTTAATTTGTTGATTGAGAATTTTGATTGTTAAAAAAAAATCATACATCACAGGGTTTTAGGCTCTAGGGTTGTGAAACGATTAATCGCATCCAGAATAAAAGTTTGTGTTTACATAATATATGTGTGTGTACTGTGTATAATTATTTTTATATATAAATACACACACATGCATGTATATATTTAAGAAAATATAAATAATGTCAATTATATATAAATATATATACAGTATATACATGCAAATATTTCTTAAATATATACATGCATGTGTGTGTGTATTTATATATACAAAATAATGATACACAGGACACAAACATATATCATGTAAACACAAATACAAACTATTTTGGATGCGATTAATCATTTCACAGCCCTAATTTAGACATGTCCCAAATAATAATAATAAAAGATCAGTAGTACTACATTAAAAAATCTTACAATTAAGTCATTTATTTTCCTCTATTCAAAACTGTCAATGATGAGAAGAATCAGTCATTTATTTAATATGCTTAATCCATGCTAAATATTGTGTCACTGCATGTTTACAGAGTCTTTTATCATATTTACATCATCTTTTTTTTTTGGTATGATTGAAAGTTAATTTTTCTGATATTCACAGGAAAACTTCTTTCTTATATCGCATGCAGCTGATAAAAAAAAAAAAAAAAAGAATACAAATATTTGATCAAATATACACAATCCCAAACCAAGAGAAAGGCAAATCCTTACCAGGCATTAGGACTGAAATCAGGCGTCGGGTCTGAGCTGACAGGCAGCAGGATCCACGTCCACACGTCTCACTTTAGTCCTGAGATCCACTGCGTTTCAGGGTTAAAGTCCCAGACTGCAGCTGGCTTCTGGAGGCAAAAGATGTAAGAAAGTGAGAGGCAAGCCCCCTCGCTAAACAAGTGCTCAAGCTATTTTCAGATGGAGACATGCACGTCTGCAGGCTGGAAAGTTACTCCACGCCTCTGGGGAAAACATATACAGATCTGTGCTTAAGAAGATATGAGTGGTCAAACATCTTGGCTATGCCAGTGCATACTATTCACCACCATGCGCTAATATGTACAATTTAAGATGACTGGAGGTAACGTTTAAAAAATGAATCAAAATCTAAACAAATCTGAGAAAAAAAATCTAAACATCTCTGTTTATACATAAATTAACAAGGCCAACTTTTAAGATTTTTAGTTAAAGATGCATTTTAGTGATCAAAGCTCCATAGATTATGGCTCTATTTTCGTCTCTGATACTGTTTGCTGATGACAGTTATAATTTATCAGCGTGTCTAAACTAAAGTTTAGAGTGAAGAAAGTTGTCTCATGCTACACTATGAAGACAGATTAACTTGCCACTCAGTATAATGCACAACAAATGAACCGTGTAAATCCCTCAAGACGACAGCAGGGCCAAAGAGTGAAACTCTTTCACCTCTAAAGAGATTTTTGTTGTTGTTGTTTATGTTCTTACTGTTTTTTGTCCTTAAACATTATAACCCACATCAGGACAAATTTCACATTTGATTGCCCCTGCAAAGACTTTTCATACTGAGATTCACTTTTATATCTAACAGCAAGAGAGCAACAGCTACACAGAAGATCTGACACCTTGTGATCTGCTCCCTCCCGTCATGAGAGATGCCGTCACCCAGAAGCTCAAGGAATGTGCAGAGACCGAAGGTGTCAGCACAAACCTGAGCCAAAGAAAACCACCCAGTAAAGCTAACATCACTCACATGCTCGTGCCTGAGATGACTTAGGTGTTACATCAACCAAAGTAAGGTATAAGATCATGATCCAGGACTTAGCAAACGATTTCTCAAAACCGAATAATATCAAATTATGACCTACGTTTGAAATCTACTGGTGAGACACAAAGCATAGGGTATTGGCATCTTTCAATTTTTAATTATTTATTTATTTTAAGAAAGCACAACGGTCGAAATTAGATCTGCAGACAATTCAGAAAACAAAAACAAAAAAACATAGACACTTCAGAATCCATCACTAAAATATTGTTTAGTATCTTTAGCACAACAACTCTTTAGGAACCATGAAAGCCAGGTGGTGCTGCATAAACCTACACTCTCACTACTATTGTTATAAGAAACCTCCATTTTTGTGGGTGTAAATGTTCATATACTGTATTAGTATTTATAAATATTGGGGCCTTTACATGCATGATTCTATTGGAGATATTATAATGTAAATAAATATGTAAAGAGTATTTTTATGACTGATTTTAATACACAGTAAGTAGGTTATGCACTTTACACTTTTAAAAAGTTTTACTTTAACAGTACATTTTAAATCGTTTTAATAATTGTTTTTTGTTGTGCTTTCAAAAAGTACACTTATTGTGATGTGTGCTGACTAACACACTAAAGCACATGCAAAAGTACTTGATTATGATCTTAACTGTGGTGAGATATTCAATATTACATTTCATGTAAATATATTTTAAATGTACTGAACTACAACTTAAAAATGTAAAATTACAAAAAACAAGTTTCAATAGAAATTACATAACATTTTTGTTTACCATAAATGCTTGGCTATATTTGGCAGTAAACTTTAACCATATGTCAAAGACAGTAGAATTATTTATGAAATTACAAATAGGTATGCACTCTCAAGTTCAACTGATTCCATTTAATATAAATTTAAACTACAATACATTTTCATTGATTTGCGAATAACATGCAATTAAGTGTCTGAAAACATTGCATTCAATTTGCACTTACTGCAAGCACATTCTTTTAAAGTATAGCCTATTATTTGGCCTTCTCTTTTAGAAATTATGCTTTTCAACTGCGTTTCAGTCTTTTTCCACAAGGGTAACTCAGGGCAAACTTATTAAATTGTTTAAATAATTACGGTAGGTGCTAAGACCTTTGTCATGACCTTTGACACTCACAGTAGCAACAGGCCTGCTCAATCCCAACCCAGCTTTTTATATAGCCATATATTTAGTAATATTAGATAGATGTCTCTCAAAAAAGATAATGTCAGAACTTGTAAATTCCATAAATTGTAATATAATAATAAAATAATAAAAATAATTAAATGCACAATAATATCATATGCTTTTTTCTTTTGGAAAACAAGACTATTATTATGTAGCTCATCTAGTCAATTACATAGTGCACATCTGTAATGACCTTCTTGACCTTGTGCCTGCTCAAGCACATCAATGCCTGTGACACATTAATGACAGTTGCACAGCAACCATTGACCAAGCGCTCATTAAAGCTCCAGTGGAGGTAGCCTACGCGAAAGGCCCTGGGTGCTTTAATCATTAAATACCTGATGCAAATGGAATACCTTCCAACAGACAGTACATCTGTGTGCAAACCATTTTGTGCTGACGTAGTTTTGTTTTTCTGTCTTTGATACTTCAATACAGTCTACTAGATCGTATACGTGTCTGCTCTCTCATGATACATCACAAGCCTGACAGTTTAGGTGTGTGGGATAGCGGGAGAATCCAACAGCACGTCGAATCTAACGAAAGCACCTCACGTGCAGCAATAAAGGCAGTTTAAGTTCATATTGTAGGCTACAAATATAAATAAATAAAAATAGATATATTATAGTGCATATTCCTGCAGTGCTTTTTGATTTGCGCACCTACCTCCCATATGTTGTGCAATCCAACAGACTGAGCAAACGCGGTTTAAATTCCCTCATATGCTATTATCCCGTTGAACGAAATCACACACGTGTGTTTGCATCAAAAACATGAATTCGTTCTCGCGCAGCTTCTCGGCAACAACACCGCGAGAGGCAGTCGATTATTATTGTTCTTCTCAACAAGCACTATGGCTGCCCCGGACACAATATTCAGATTTCAGACGCGCTTTCTTGACTCAAGAGATCAGTGATGAAGCATGCCGACCCCCTTCTCAATGCACTTGTTTTGGGTCGACAGAGATGAAGGGCTCTCATTGGTTTGGAGAAGATCCTGGTAGTCATAGTAACAGCCAACAGAGAGCATGCTTTATCATGGGATGGTAATGAATAGCGCAGTACCCCTCCCTTGTGGTGGATATTTACTGAGGAATGTTTTCTTGGAGGTACACTCTATGTAATGATGTTTAGAGGAAGCTCATTGTGGAAACGACAATGGACCTTTCATTAAAGTGACAATTATGCCTCTAGTAATTGTATGACATTTTGTGAATGTCGGTGTTTTGACTACTGTGAAAGAAAATTACTAAGCAAACCATCACTTACATCTTCCACCAGTGCATCCACTCATGTCTGGGACATTTAGCAGTTGAATCGCCAAATCAGTGTGCTGTGGGGAAGATGTGCTGCCATATTGTAAAGTGTTACCACTTTTTTCATAAGGTTCCATTTGTTAACATTAGTTTACCACGGTTTAACATCAAATAACTTTCATGCATTTATTAATACATTATCTGTTGTTGATATTATTTATTGGACCTGAGCTAACATGAACTAACAATGAACATTTTTATTAAATAACATTAAAAAAGAATAATTAATCAAAAATTACTACCAATAATTAATGAGACTATACTAAAGTGTTACCAAAAAGTTACTGAAGTGCTGGCTACATATTCAAGCAAATTAACAATAAAAACATTTTTTTTAATTGCTAACTTAGATTTTTGAGTAAAACGCCAGTTCGTTTCTCTTTTTCGACCACTTTGAATGACTTTACTAATGAAGAAGATCAAGCTGAAAATTCCAAAACTATTAAATGGGTTAGTTCCCCAAAAAATGAATTTCTGTCATCATTTACTTCAAAGTTCTGCGGAAAATGAAGATTCAATGCATGACTTTTTTTTTATATACTTATATAGTTTATATACTTTTTTTTATTTTTTTTCTATATTTTTTATAAATATATAGGTTTGGAAAGACACAAGGATGAGTAAATGATGACAGAATTTTCATCTTCGGGTGAACTATGCCTTAATTATTGGTCTAAAATCACTTCTTTGGTACTATTCTTTTTTATGTAAAATAGGTCAAACAGGTGTGAATGAACCAAAACATCAATATGAAATAATCTGAAACCCACACTGCCTTCTGTTACTCTGATCACATTAAGCAGGTCACCCTGCAGACATGCCACATATTTCATCAAGTACCATTCTGGGAGTTTCCTTGTCCCTGATAGGGTTGCTTGAGCCTGTCAGACATTCGCTCACACATCTAAATTTAACCAGCAAACTGTCAACTACCACTACGCTTTGCACTTTGTCACCTTCAAGAGACCAGACAGGGCCGGATAGAAAAACTAGGGAAGAATAATCAGTAATGCTGCATTTCAGATAGCATTTTGATTAAACCATATGGATATGTGCTAAAACTGCCAGCTGATTAACAGAACTGTATATAATTAATCTCACTGATTTCTTTTAAAATGCCATTTGCTAACCTAAATTTAAATATCCTACAGTTTTGACCTCTCTCAGTACACCTTATGTAGCATTTCACAGTTATTTCAAAGCACAGAAACTGGCTCAATTGCTTTATTCAGCTCTTTAAGGATTGCTGACATTCCACTTGTGTTAATCTTTTTCACATGGAAATGTTTGATTCTCTTTTTAGGGTTTATAAGCAACTGGTGGAGAAATATAGGGCACCTCAAAATTACTAGCACATATATTACAATATAGTATATTAATTAAAAGCAAATGTATATGCTTTGAGGTACAATAGCAGCAATATTACAAAAATATGTTTCTGCATGGACTGAATTTTGGATGCGCACAGAACTAATTTATGACAAAATTAGCCTTGTTAAATGTGATCCTCTAATAGCTATTTCAGAGAGAAACTGAGAGCAGGGATAAATGGAAATCACATTATTCCCTTTATCCCCTTAGGACAGAAACATTCAACTGGGATTTTGAGGGAACTCACATTGCCCCCTACTGGTATGTTATGTGTAATAGACATTACAAAACTGATCTGTCTTGAAAAGAGCAACTCAAATTTAGTTTTTATATCACTCTGCAGTCTCTTTGCACACAATAATTATTTTATTGAAATTAATATTTCATATCCTGTTTGTGAATAACCAAATAAAGTTGGATAACGTTTACTTGTTTGAGTTGGATAGTGCAGTCAGCAGGTTGTTTTTTGCAAAAGAAAAACCTTCAGGTTTGTACCAGTGTCTGATCACCCTTTAGTGGTTTATTTTGTGATAATGGCCTGCTGACTATACATTTTTATATCCTACGTTGGGGTTTCTCTCACTAAAGGGCTAAACTGACCTTAGGGAAATTCTGTTTTTATCACTTTGCCTCTTTTTTTTGGGCCTGAGCTGAATCTAATAACCTCACGCCTATAAAAACACTAAATCTAAAAAAAGTCCTTAAAAAAGGCAAAATCACGCCTATAAAGACGCTATTATGCGTCTGGATTGTAGGCTAAATCTTGTCAGTGAATGATTAGAAAAATCAGTTTAATAACAGCAGCAGTGCTATCCAGATGACATAAATGACCTCAGTAGGTCTACACATTAGCCTAAAGGTGTGGCATAACAAGACCTTGTGCTAGTGACAGAAACTTAGTCAAATTCCCAGAGGATGCATTAGGAATTTCTAATCAAATTTCACGGCAGTCAGTCAGAGTGGTAACCTGAAGGTTGCGGGTTTGAATCTCAATACCAGCTGAAAATTACTACCAATCGTTACCCAGACGCCGCAGTGAATGACTCCCCACTGCTTCGGGTGTGTGTGTCCACGGGTTTGCAGTGTGTGTGTACTAACTCGGATGGGTTAAATGCAGAGAACAAATTCTGAGTATGGGTTACTGTACTAGGTCTTCACATCATGACACTTTCACTTCATCTTGTATTTCTTTGTGAATCTTCCTCATGAGGATAACCCTCACAAACATGACCCGAATGTTAAATAACTTATTTTAAAAGCTACTGACACCGGCTTATCAGCTGACATATTTAACAGACCTCCTTCCATTGTTCTTAAAACAGTATAGAGAGAATAAAGGTTCCCTCATCAGGGTGTAAGAAATTACCCCCTTCCCCCTGCAGGGAGCCCTGTTCTCCCTGTGATTGCTGTGGGAGCCCCAAAAGGATAGTTTTACCTGCAGACAGAGTGTCCTCTGTCCACTTTACAGAGGCTTCCATGTTGCTCTCTCTTTGTTGCCCTGCTCACACACCCACTCGGGCTGTAATTGGAATCTGGCCTTACACAATGACTGTGAATGAGGTGAAGGACTAGTCTGGAGTCACAGGCTGGGAAAAGCAGGTCATACCTGCCTACACACCTATGCACAATACCTACAAACCCCACCAAGGCCTGGAGTTCACAGGCAACTAAAACCAGTGAAATCTCCTGTAACGGAATACCGTGGGGTTCTTGGGTTTCACTGACACGTTGTTGCTGCACATACCTCTGAATTGTAGCTTTCTTTAGAGTACATTTTCACAAAATAATACTAATAATATTTTTAGGTGTATTCCTGTTAACAATTGCAAATAATTTGAGCCTGTCACACATAATGGAGTCAGTTTGAAGTGCTGGTAATGCTGTAAGTGAGTGCTAACAACAACAGTCTTACTCAAGGGGGAGAAGGGGACAGGTTGAACAAACAGATAAAAAAAAAACCTCATCCTGAAATTAGGATGTTTTCAACAGATCAGTCCCAGCATAGGTCAGAAGACAATACAACTTTGTATTCAAACTGTGAAAGAACAATACAATTAAATAAATGTAAACATCTACTTATGACATGATTGATATCAAAGGTTTTTAAATTTAATTTAATTTTATTATCTACAGTGCGGTCAAAGTCTGAGACCAGTGAAAAGAGCATCTTGAGCTTCAAGAGACACGAATGAGTGACTTTCTGTACATAGATCAACATGATCGTGCCAGAATGTTAAATATTTCTTATTTGTTTTATCATATTCTTTCTTTGTTGTAAATATTTAAATATTTGTAAACTTTCTGTTTTTTTCCAGGGTTAAGAAAAAACTATTTTCAACATATTTTACCAGATTTTCACCATTCACTCAGATTTTTGGTCTCAGGATGAGTGTTATGACAAAATAACACTCAACAAAATTGCTCATATTAAAATGAAAATGGAAAATACAAAATAAATTAATAAAACTATGATAGTGCAGTGATACTAAAATAACTGATGTTTGTTTATTTAGTTGTTTGTTTTGTTTTGCCCAGTAATTCCCTGTAGCTGATTATAACACACTGTATCTCTGATCACAACTATAGAATCAGTAAAGATACAGTCACTAAGTTATGCTGTCTTATGACAGTAACTTCCAGGTGACTTTGTTAGCAGCAGGGTCCTTGTACCAGACGTGTGGCCTGGTCTTAACGGGCTGAAAGCCGGCTCAGCTGAGTGTCACAATCCTAAACAAAGGTTGGTTGACTTCGTCGCCTCCTGGACGTTTAACACAAAGATGTGTCTAGTTGCCAGAGTATCCCACAGCATGGATCACCTATTAAAGTACCGTCAGTTTTGTTAAAGCAAGTATTGACTACTGTATAATCTTACATTTGGGAAAGGACAAAAAAGCATGAGTTTAAATTTGTCAGTTTAATACATCTCAAAGAGCTTATTTTTTTTTTATGTTCCATTTTAGATAGCAATCATTGGTTCCAAAGAAACGAATAACAGTGTATCAAAAAGCATAAAATTAAGACTGAAAAAAAATGCCCAGAGGATACATGATGTTATGTAATGATGCCCATGTACTGTATTATGGCATTTACCCACAACATGGATTAAACATCAGTGTTCAATGTCATTGCTTGTCTTTCCAGAAGGTAACAAGTCTCATAAGCTGTTTAAAGAGCTTAAAGCTGAGAGGGAAATGTGATAAATGCAACTCAAAGTATTACTATAATAAAGAATATGTCAATATTACACCAGTGTCAGCTTTGAGCTTTGTGTCATTAAACAAACTCTTGTACATAAATGTTTGTACACAGATTCAAAGTTAAATCTTCTAAAGTCAGATTTTAAGCAGTAGCAGTGCTATACAATCTGTTACAGCGGCAAATATTAGAAAACATTCATTCCTGTTTTCCCCCATTTAATAAACGTAGAAAAGAGAGCAAAAAAAAAAAAAACACATTACCTTTAAATGAAGGCATTCTGGCTTGTCATGGCAGTGGTTCTTGGTTCTTTCACAGTCAGGATCACAAGCTCATTGATAAGCTCATTGGCCTCTGTGTCCTCCACATGAGAGATCATATCATCCCCAGCTGCTATCCAAAACACGTACTGTATGTCAGTCAGTTCTTCTTTCGCTTCAGACTCCAGGTCCTCTTCCTAAGTGTCTGCTATCCAGTCCAAATCTCCTGCTTGTGCTCTTTTCTCCCCCTCAGCTTCCAGACTGTCCCTCTTTGTGTTTAACCTTCCACTGCTGATGTGTTCCACAGGACACCCTCTGAGGTGATGAACCTGCACTGAAAGGTACGTACTGTATGGGTTACATCCTCAGCCATGCAGAGCCGCTCCAAGTAAACACACACACGCGTACGCGCACACAGCTTCCAGCAAAGGAACAAGCGTTCTTTGTGTCTCACGTTTTACAAATACTATAAGCTGCCTGGGCTTAGCACGTAAGTGGACCAATCAGAGCTCAGAGGCTATGGAGGAGGCTGGGTAATAGGTATTAAATCAAAGCAGATGGGATGGGAATGACTGAATATATAGGGACAGGTTATAAGTGCTGGCGGTGAGCTGTTCAGTAGCTACGGGTGGCAGTAATCCATTGTACCCGGCCTTTGCTTCAGACACTTTTGCATAAATATCTGCTCTATTATCCTGCAAGGTTATTTCTGGTGTAGTTTATTTTTGTTTCAAAGACCTGGATGAGGCGATTCAGACAATGTTTGGTAGGCTGTTTGTTTAACTGAGGTTAAAGCATGTCATGGAGATGTTATTTAGGTGGTAAAGGTATAGTAGTGATTTACCATAGTAGATTTGGAGCGAGAAAAGAATGTTCTCGAAGTAAGGCAGGAAGGAAAGAAGGGTTAGAAGGAAAGGGGAAAACAACTGAATAAATTCTCAAACGGATTCTGTTGTTCCAATGACCTAGAATAATCAGAATTTAAGACCAATTATTTTAGCACAGTAAACAAATCTTTTAGCCTACTAATCCTATACAGACCACACACACACACACACACACACACACACACACACACACACACACACACACACACACACACACACACACACACACACACACACACACACACACACACACACACACACACACACACACACAAAGGAAGTGGAATTAAATGGAACATTTCTACATTTACATGTTGTCTATATATATATATATACAGTATATATATATATATATATATATATATATTTACAAAATTTAGTAACTCTTTATTTTACACTGTCTTTGTTACACGTTATATACTTCCTAATAACAGTAAATTATACATAACTACAAGCAACTAACCCTAAACTTACAGTTTTTTACAATCACTTTGCTACTATTTTCAGAACCTTGATGTCATTTTTCAAAACTCTAGACACAAAACTCAAAACGATAATCACTTGTAACACAGGCTGTCTAATGTTCAAAACATTGCATTGTGCATTCACATCTTTAAAGAAATCTTGCACTTGCACAATCATTGGTTCAAAAAACAAATTAACTGTGAAATACCATTGAAACATAACTATAGATCACCCACACACAAGCAACCGATAGTTTCACTGTGTCATTGTTCGTACAATCATTAAATATTGTAGAGCAAAATAGGTGATACAGGTTTCATTATGGAACTACATGTACAGTAAATACATCTCTGTAAAAGTACTGCAGTAGTAGAGAGAATATTACAGACACAGTGGAATCATTGTGAACAAAGTTTGTAATATATTGATGCAAAACACTACAGTACAATCACAACATGGTTTTTTGAATCAAAGCAAAAATAATTAGCTATGAAATAGAAAAGAAAAGACAGTACTGTAAAACAACAAATGCAGTGTTCCTCAACTTGCTGTAAGAAACTAAACAGGAGTGATTACTGTACTTCTACACTGTCATCAACTCTGTGTTGTGGATTTGGCCACAGGTTCTCATCTACATCACAATGGATGTTGGAAAATGACATCTTGGAAAAAACCTTTGGCATGGCGAGTCCAGGCCTGACACTGCTCTGCTGTGATTGGCAGAATTGGACACGCAGTTACAAGGGCCTGCATCTATACAGTACTGTACTGTCAATACTGTACATAGTCTGAAAAGGTGGTACAGTATTTGGCACCATAGACACAGTGTCTGATGAAGCATTACAGTATGATAATATTAGGCTACATCCATGGATATAGTAGTCTAATTGGTTCATGCCATGCTAATTGGTGACAATGAATCTCATTATCTTGAAACTTTCATGATTTACTGTAAACATGGAAGATTGTGTGTCTGTTTCCATACAACTATGCATTAAGAGTAATGCAACAGTTACTTATCATTTTGAGCAGTTGTATCAATTGATAGTTAGATCATTGTAAGGAAATGAATAGACACTCATTTGAAATGTAATGTGTGAATTGCCTTTTGAAATAGTAGTACTTTGATGTTAAGTTGTGTCATATTGAACAGGTGATCTTTGTTGAATGAACAAATGATCTAAGTTTTATGTGTATTGTATCCAAGCAATTGAGAAAAGGGTTAGAGTTTTGAAAAATGTGCTTTTTGATCATTGGTTGTGAGTTTTGTGTCTAGAGATGTGAAAAATGACATCAAGGTTCTGAAAATAGTAACAAAGTGATTGTAAAAAACTGTAATACATATATAATAACCCTTAATAAACCTAAAACAAATACAGTAAACACATTAATTTTGTGAATATTATTACAATTTAAAATGTTTCCTTGAATATATTTTAAAATGTCTTCATTGTCAGAAATCATTAATAATATGATTTGCTGCTCATGAAACATATTATTAGTATATGATATTTTATTTATCATTATTAACAGTTGTGCTGCTTCATATTTTTGTGGAAACCTTGATACTTTTTTTCAGGATTCATTAGAAGAACAGCATTCATTTGAAAGAACATTTTGTAACAATGTAAAAGTCTTTACTGTAACTATTGATTTAGTGCATAAATTATACAATACATGGTAAAACTACTTTGAAACATGCTGTTCACCCTCATGTGGTGTTCGGGTCAATTTGACCCGGAGAAGATTTTCTTTTTCCCGAAAATACTAGTTAATGTTGTCGCTTTGGACTGAAACTTAGTGACTTTGTTCCCAAACGGTATAACTAAATCTCAGTGTTTTTTTGAAAATTTTCTTATTTTTTTGTGGGAGTATTGTTACCTTGTTACACTTGTGGTGTTCCCGGTCAAAAATGACCGGCCTATAAAAAATAGCTTATAAGTCACTCATTATACCATATTTTCACCCAATCTTGGATTCAATCTTTTTGTCAACTTGTTCTCTTTCAATTAGGACTGGTTTTATATTTCTGTTTGAATCTGATTAATCGTGGGCCTCATTTGTCTGAGAGTAGGCATCTCATTTTTTGAGTAAAAAACAAATAATTTATGAGTAAATTTGGAAATATGAAAAAAAATATGAAAAAAATGGCTACGGTTGATCACACTAGTCTACTCTAATGTTTCACCAGAAATTTTGTTTTGAAACTTTTGTTTTGTAAAAAATATGGCACATAGTCACACTTGTGGTGTTCCCGGTCAAAAATGACCGGCCTATAAAAAATAGCTTATAAATCATTCATTATACCATATTTTCACCCAATCTTGGATTCAATCTTTTTGAATGTGTGTGTGTGTGTGTGTGTGTGTGTGTGTGTGTGTGTGTGTGTGTGTGTGTGTGTGTGTGGTAATGTCAGATGGATAAATGTATATTAGATGCAGGTTAGGGTAGGATCAAATTTCTCTCTGTGGAAAAGAATGTGTGTAATATTTAAAAAAGTTTGTGTGTTTTAACATGTGTGTGTCTGGGTAGCGTGTGTATAAATGTATCGATACATGCACAGGTCCAAGGGCTCGATGTTTGCAAGCACACATGCTCATATGTGTACATGAAAATAATGAACATGCTCCTGAAAACTAAATTGTTCTGTTATTTTCAGTCTCTCCCATTCACTTTCAATGGTCGGCCATTGTGACCATTTTTGACCATGCCTACTCTCAGATGAATGAGGCCCACGATTATTCAGATGCAAACAGAAATATAAAACCAGTCCTAATTGAAAGAGAACAAGTTGCCAAAAAGATTGAATCCAAGATTGGGTGAAAATATGGTATAATGAGTGACTTATAAGCTATTTTATATAGGCCGGTCATTTTTGACCGGGAACACCACAAGTGTGACTATGTGCCATATTTTTTACAAAACAAAAGTTTCAAAACAAAATTCCTGGTGAAACATTAGAGTAGACAAGTGTGATCAACAGTAGCCATTTTTTCCATTTTTTTTTTCATATTTCCAAATTTACTCATAAATTATTTGTTTTTTACTCAAAAAATGAGATGCCTACTCTCAGACAAATGAGGCCCACGATTAATCAGATGCAAACAGAAATATAAAACCAGTCCTAATTGAAAGAGAACAAGTTGACAAAAAGATTGAATCAAAGATTGGGTGAAAATATGGTATAATGAGTGACTTATAAGCTATTTTTTATAGGCCGGTCATTTTTGACCGGGAACACCACAAGTGTGACTATGTGCCATATTTTTTACAAAACAAAAGTTTCAAAACAAAATTCCTGGTGAAAATGTTAAGTTGACTAGTGTGATCAACAATACCAATTTTCTTCAGATTTTATTTAATATTTCCAAAATTATTCAAAAATTTTAAAAAAAATTACTCAAAAAATGAAATGCCTACTCTCAAATAAATGAGGCCTATGATTATTCAGATGCAAATCAAAATATAAAACCAGTCCTAATTGAAAGAGAACATGTTGACAAAAAGATTGAATCCAAGATTGGGTGAAAATATGGTATAATGAGTGATTTATAAGGTTTTTTTTATGGCCCGGTCATTTTTGACCGGGAACACCACAGGTGTTATAGGGTTTTGAACACCACATGAGGGTTAAATCCATTTGAAATCATGTCTTTAACAAGCAAACCTAGCTATTCTGTCATCAGTACCAAGACATTTAAGGATGGAAAGTGAATCCGTTGAGTCTGAGTGGACTCTCGAGACATTCCTCCTCTGGCTACTGAAAAGTCTTAACAAAGACGTAAAGCTAGGACTGGCGGCACCTTAAGGGAGGGGACAGTGTGATTGGAGGGTGACCGGGGGGCTTGAATTATGGGTATATCACTTTCAACATGACCTTTCAGTACCTCTCATCGCTGGCCCTCCCAAGACGACGCCAGCTATTCATCTCTCCACCTCCTAGGATTCACAGCCCCACGACCTGATGACCCTGACCACACAGTATCCTCTTGCACTATTTATACGCACTTTTCATAAATAAACTTGCCACTGAAGCACCATAAGCACATTGGCTCAGTGTTGACCCTCAAAGGAATTGACGCCACGGATCAGTGAAATAAAACCGCGCTGATTGTTGTTTCTCCACAGAGAAACAAACAAGTCATAATAGTTTTAATTCACTTATATATTCCATAACAGCTGATGTTTTGTCTATTTTTATTTTTTTGTCCCTCATATTACTTCAATTTCTTTTCCCAAAGCTTTCAATAGCAGAAAATATGGACTATTGGCCCTTCTATCAAGAGATATTGGCAGATACAGGATTTATACAGTACAGTACATATCTCTATAAATAGGTTTTTATTTGTAAAGACATGTCCCCTTTTCTCAAAGCTAATTTATACAGAAGCCTAATGAAGCAAAATCCCAGGAGGCCATGCGGCATATTAGCCTAAATAGCCAACTCTTTACTAATGGGCCTTTTGCTATTGAAGTCGTTGAATGTTTCCAAATATTGAAAACACGTTGAATTATTTAGAGATTATATTAGGAAGAAGAAGAAGAAGAAGAAGAAGAAGAAGAAGAAGAAGAAGAAGAAGAAGAAGAAGAAGAAGAAGAAGAAGAAGATGATGATGATGATAACTTGATGCGAGTTGTGCTAAGAGCAAACCTTAAAGCAACACTAACATCTGCTGTTCTATGGCTCCATCTAGTGTTCTACGTGTAAATTGCACCTAGGTGATAGCATTCTTGATGAATTGCAAAGTTTATTTTGCATCTGTTGTTTATTATTTATATTTTGTAAGTATAACAATATATTTAAAGAATAGTAAATAACTATTTTTACTATTATAGGCTACTTATAATTTAATTTCCTCAAGAGTAGGCCAGAGCTTAAATTGGTTTTACATTTTATGTTGATCTTTATTAGGCCTATAAACCGTGTCCGTGACGAATTAAATAAAATAATAATAAATGTTAAATAACTACAGTATTCATTGTGTTTTGTTGATGTAGCCTATCGTTCGGAACGAAATCTAACGTTATAACGGAAACCTGTATAACTTCTCGACTTTTGTTAGCGAGGGTCTTCGATTTTGCGCGAGCCGACTAACTTGCTAATCTTTCGAGTTTACTTAATGTTTGTTTTAAGACGTGTAGGTTTGTAAAAGAGTAGTTATTCACTTCTGAGTAGGCCTACCCCTCAACCTAGTGTTCGTCTTCCGTCGAGTCTTAATCAGCCTCCCCAAAATTCGAACTGTAGTTAATGTCGAAGATATGTTGATGGCAGTAACAGCGTCTCGGTCGGTGAGTGACAGCTTGTCACCTGCTTTGTCTAGTAGTCTACGCGGAGAGCGCGCAGCTCTCGTTATCAGCGCGGTGAAGCTGCGTTGGTCAGTCACAGTCATTAATGCAGGTGACCGTAGAGCGCATTGAGCCAAGCGGCGGGTCTACCGACCGAAGTACCAGCATGGCTTTCACTGTGAGAAAATGTATCACTGTGGCTTCGAAAAGCCCCCGCTAGACTCGGAGCGAACACTTCAGTGGAAGAGGACAAGAAGAGCTCAGGACAATATGAGTCCGGTTCGAGAGAGTGATGACATGAAGTAAGCGTCTTCTCTTTCTTCTACATCATAACATGTGTGTCAAACATGCATTCACGTTTTAGAACAATAACCTGTAGATTCTTGGAGAATAATATTTTAGAATTTCTTTGTGATTCAAGTTTAGGTATATATATTTTTTTTTTCTGTCTAGGGTTAAGTATGTCTAGCTAGCAGCAACACATAGCTAGGCTAAGTTACTTGAGGAATAAGGGTAACATTAACGTTAACACTATTATTTAGTGCTGCTGTACATTAAATCTTAGAAAATAGTCAAGACTGTGTTCTTTCATGGCAAGACCTTCAATGTTTAATTGAATTGTGCTCACTACTTGATAACTAATTAATATAAGACTAATGTCATCGAATCAGGGTATAGTCTTTCCTCTGGCACGAGCATATCTAATTGCTCAATCTACACCAGCATTTAGTTACGACTGAAATCCCTCTCTAGAGCTGATCTTTAAAAAAAAACCTGAGGTAGGCAAATGTGTATCTTTCCTTCAAATCAGTTTCATAAAAAATAAAGATAAAAAAGGGCTACTGCCTTTCAGACACTGTATTCTGAATAAAAGAGAAATTGAATTAGGGCTATACAAAGTGAAACTGAGCACTATTGTGCTTAAGAATTGTATAAGAATACATTTACTGTGTTTTTATATAGCTAATGTATGGTTAAATATCACTATGCAACAAAAGTATTTGTTTTATAGTTACACTTCACTCTTCCCCACAGCACATACAAGTTAGTTGTTTGAAATATTATGGTTAATGATATACAATTTATACACACACATATATATATATATATATATATATATATATATATTGATTGATTGATTGATTAGTTTGATCATTGCAGTTCTTGTGATGCCAATATCCCCTGTGCTGCTGACTTTTGTGTACCATCATATATGCAAAAAGTGACAAGGTTTGATGTTTTATCCGAACTCTGGAAAGGTGTAACATTTGACAGGCTTGTACTGAGTAAAATCACTGTCCTGTTGTGCTTGCTGCTAAAAGGCAGACACGAGAAAGAATCCATGTCAGTCAGCTGAGGCTTTCTGCTGCCATGCTGATCATGCATGTTTCATTAGGCCCTGGCGTTCAACCTGCTGAAATTATTTGCTGTTTGCTCTGTGAGAGAAACCTGAGCCGCCACTGATGCTGGGCTTCCTTGTTGACCCCTGCCAACCGTTGAAGCCCTCACCCGCTGCTAATTAGTTTTCCCCTTTCTCTGTGCTACTTCTTCTGTAGCTGTGGTGTCAGTTTGTGCTCCTGTATGCACAGAGTGCTCTTGTTGTCTTTGTTATCTTCGTTAACGTTTAAGAGAAATATCAAATAGATGACATAAAATGGTTTTTGGAAAGGGCATTATATACGGCATTATTGCAATAGCCTATAGGTTTGCAACTTTCATTACCTCATTTTACACAAGTTAAACTGTGCTATTTTTACTGTATGGTAATATTTTTGTCTGATCTTTCTCTTTAAACTTTTAACCTGAAATTAATTCAATTAAATAAATAAATTAACTAAATACATGTTATTGTAATGTGTAGGACAACACGCAAAAGTTTTTTCAAAAGTCATTTTTTATCAACAAGGAGAATCCGCAGGAGAAATTAGAATAAAGCAACTACACATTGTGTAACATAATGGAGAACACTGAACTGAGAAAACCAAGGGCTTATAAACACAGGGAGTAATGAAGGGAAAACAGAACAGGTGTGGAACTAATTACAAACCATGACAACAGATGAACGAGGCAAAATGGAGACAAAGAAAACCAAACTAGCAAGGCATGCATATAACAGTTACATATCAGCTATAGAGTGCTGCAGGGATCATATATTTTTGTAGGTCAAAATCCTGGAAACAAGTTAGCATTTTAACACTTCCGGATTCATCGTCCCCAAGTCAATGGGTTTTTTGTATTTTATAAGGTCTGTGGTGAAGATATTTTCACATTTTATTCTACGTCATAAAACACACCAATAATACCCCTCGAAAAATGTCTTGAAAAAGGCGGTTGCTAAATGGGACGTTGTCAGGGACATTAAACGTAATCACACCTAACAGGTAAACTCATTTGTGTGCTAATCTGTTGGAAGCTTGGTGGTGGTGATGTTGAATTCGAGTGACCGTGACCTTCAAAATGAATAAAAGTTGTGTTAATTTGTGAAAATTATCTTGATGGACAAAACGTGTTAGTATCATAAACTTTTGTTGATCACAGAGCTTATTTTTTGCTATAATTCAAAGGCCTATAATCCTATAGGGTTTTTGCTGAGGGAACCAGTGTGATGCAGTGTGATATATACAAAAATAAGCTATCACTGCAGACCAAAAGCCTTTCTTTCAGTGGGAGGAGCTTATTCAGCATCTGTATCATCATTTCACTTCCAACTATATATATATATATATATATATATATATATATGTTTTCTTAAAAATGTAATCTTGGATGTCTTATTCCTAGAAACATTTTCTAAGGGTTTCTAGAGAATGGTTTTCTCCATTTAAAAATCTTACGGAAAAAGAAAAAGTCCTCTGGGATGGATGGTAAGGTGTGTACACCTGTGAGTCATCCAGGGGAGGGTGGGGACATTCAAGCACCTGTGCTGTGCCACTGTAGCGTGTCCAAACACTCCCTTGATGGAGCTGAATGAACAGATCAGAGGCACCTCTGCACTGGGCGGAAGGACGACAAGGACATTCATGTTGACCTGCAGGGGAAACAAGAAGTCACACATTTCTGATGGCTGATCTGAAAGTGTGAATGTTGCTGTTTTTTCTTTAAGCTGGGTTCCACTGATAGGAGTAATTTACCCATGCACAGTGCACTGGGCTTTGGGTGGGCCTCATCTTTGGCCACCCTACATGTACCTCCTGTACTCTCTTACTACCCAGACAGCTACAGGGCAGTGTGCCATGACAGACATGCTGGACTCATTGTAATTGGGTAAGTTGTTTGTGACGTTGTAGCATTTTTGAAGGAACAATCACAAATGTGTCATAACGTTATGCATTATTGGAATTTTGATAACGTTTGTTACATTAACAAGGTCACTTGTACAAAGTATGCAAGTTATAACTTCAATAATCCCATTACAATTGTCATGTATGTGACAAATTGCTGTCAGATACATGATATGATTTGGTTTGAATAATCTTTTTTTTTTTTTTTAATTGTGGGTTACAGTTATAACCACTTATTTTGTCCATAAAGGTCTCGATAAACACTGATAGTGAATGGTGATGAATCTTAAGAGACCAAAATAAATATTTTAAAATTATATAAAGCAATGTGAAATAAGCACAAAAAACTTTTTCAAATAAATCAATGGTTTCTCTGTTCTTTATTTTACTGTATAACATTTCCAGATAAAGCTTCTTGTTGTCATAGTGATAAATGTGACACTCCAGCATGCCTGTATATTGTACTTTGATCTTGTACTGTTTAAATTATTCATGACATAATTGTCTGATAGATTAGAGGCAGTTTGAGACAAAGAGTGAAAGCTTGAAGGTGACAGCATCATGTGACCCTCTTATACCTGCAGGTGGATATGCTTTTCATAGCAAAAGCTTTTTTAGCTCTTTGCCTTGATTAGTTCATTTTAAATAGTCCTGCTAAAAGACAAAACAATTTTTTTAAATATATATATGTACTGTAGTCTCTAAAATAACATTGAGGTTTTAATAGCTGCCTGCATGCAATTATTATAAAACAATTAGCAGAATCCATTTTAAAATAGTTTTAAATGAAGTTTAGCATGTTAACCAAAGGATGCTTATTGTGCTTTTCAGTTAATAAATGCCTCTGAATGTATCATTGCAGCATGTGTTCTGTACAAGTCATAAATGGACCTGTTTTCATTAACTGTATAGACCCATCTTCATTCTTATTCCCATATCATGTATTAGGAAAAAGCTGCTCAACGAACCTAGCAAAAGCATTAATGCAGTACCTGCCCCCTTCTCCAGAAGTGTCAACAGGGTCTCAAGCTGTGGCCTCAGGTAATACAATCATTATTTTCATTTCGGAATATTCAGAACTTATTGTAAGGTTTTAGCTCTACAACATATTAATGACATTTTAAAGTAGAAAACAGAGTCCTTAAATAATGCCTCATTTCTTCATTGGTAGCATCTCGTCATGTGGTCAGTCATCTGCCGGTGGCACTACCCCCGTGAGTCACCTCCCCTCCCGCTCCGGCAGCCCAGGCACTGGCCCCGGTCTCTCCACAGACCACAGCTCCATCTGCTCCTGGAGATATGATGTAATGCCTCTGTTCTTCTTCCAGATGTTTTTTTTTAGCTTTTTCATCAGGGTTGGGCAACATTCAGAATTTTAGAATCAACTCCCATTCAATTAATGAGGTTTATTTATTTTTTTTATTATTTTTTTTTTAGTTCATGAAAACTTACATTTAATTGGCCACAACCCACAGGAAGCTCAGTTTGAATATGAATCGGAATGACAAGGGAATTTACTGATTTTTTTTTTGTTGAAACATTAACTTGAGTTGAAATAATTTAATTATTTCTTATTTAATATATTATTTATATAAAACATGTTGAATCCGAATTTCATAAGGCCATGTAAAGAAAAAAATGCTGATTTATAATTATTGTTTTTGAAAATGTATATCTATGACAGCATGTTTATGGTTTATATATATATATATATATATTTATATAGTGATAGAGTTAATTTATTTGAATTTCATTTCATTCCATTTTAATTTAACTTAAATTCAAATTCCTATTAGATTTATGTTTCCTGTTTGCTACCTCAGTTGAAATTAGTTAATTGAATTGGAATGTAAATTGAATTCTCAGTTAATTTCTGAATAGCATACAACACTGCTATTTATTATCATTAAAATGTTCCATGTAATAAACAATTGAAAAATAAGAAACATCTACAACAGGGCATTTTTCTGCTAATCAATTTAAACTCTCTCTCAGTTTCCTGTTTTTAGTGCATGTGTCTAACTGTTATTTTTAAAAATGCATCACTAGCTGCTAGCACCATCTCCTCATCTGTGTTTATTGAATGTTTTAGTGTTTGTTTGTTTTCTTGCATGCAGGAGTTTGAGCGGGCGAATACTCAGCGTGTGCGTCAGCTCTTTAACTCTGTGGATGAGCTCCTGTATGAGAGGAGCGTAAGCAGCCCCTCGGAGTCCCTGCAGGAGGAGTGTGAGGAGTGGAACGGACACACCCCCCATCTCAGGTACAGCTCCTTTGAGCAAAGAGAGATTTGTGAGAGAATTTTGACTGGTCTGAGGCTAAAAGGGTTAGGCAAACTTAGTTTTTTAAAGTTAATAAATTGAATTAAAGAAAATGCTTTCTATTCAAAATTATATTCATCATATAATCCTGAAAAAAAAGATCAGTTTACAGTTTCCACCAATAAATATTAAGCACCACAACTGTTTTCTACATTGAGTAAATGGTGAAAAGTTACTGTTTTTATGGGTGACTCACTGAATCATACATTCAACTGATTTGTTCAAAAATACTGATTCATTCAGGAAGGAATCAAGTGGTGTTGTTATGGAGTCAGTGAATCATGTGAAAAAGTAACTTGCAAAATTATTTCTAAAATGTACGTTTTTTTTTGCTGTACATAAGCACTATCACATTATAACGGCTCCTGAGCATTTTCTTCTGATTAGAAAAATCACGGTTGAACAGATCTCTTAATGCTTAATATCTTCTTTCACAAAGGGTCAGCACCGCTGTCATCATACCATCTTGACACTATTACGACACTGTGAAAAATTGAAGATATATAAAATTACATTTAGATGAATAATGGGTGAATGCATTTTCCAAGGCACAGTTTAGCCAAGTCCACAGCTTATTGAACCACACAGCTAGTACATTTAACTTATAAATTAACAGACGAAATCCAAAAAACAAACAACATACTGTGTGTGCCTTCTAATCAGAAATCCAGGAGACATTTGGAGGCATTTTAAGCAAATATTCTTTCCGATCAGACACCTCTTAGTCCATGTGCATTTCTGACATTCACACAGCTACTGTAGCTACATGGTTCAAACCAACACTACACATTGTTCACCTGTAGGTGTCGCTATTACCAAATTATTGTGCTACTCAAAGACAATTTCCAAATAAACATTCATAATACATTATACAGCATTGCACAGCCCTGCTAACTGATACTGTCTCGTTGTGTTGCATCCCTGACCACAGAATTTTAGGAAACCAGTTGGAGCCTCCCAAACAGGAGGGTGTTCAGTACATCTGCAGACATGAGTCCAGTGCCAGAACCTATTCCTTCTCCACACCCACTTGTCTGGACAAGAGGGAAGACCATAGCGAGTAAGCCTCTCAATAAAATTAAATAACAGTTAAAATTACAAAAACACATGGGTTAGATTTAATGTTTAATTGTTTAGTTTTTTCGGTTTAAGAAAATAACCGCTCTGAGGAGGGTTACTTTTATGGTTTCAACTATACAAATATGTTTCTCTTTGAAAACAGAATGAATGAAATTGTGATTTAAATGAGGATCTAGTACTACACTGTTAATGAGTGGTTGACAAGTGGTTGGAGGTCTGTCTGACTGAGGGCCAGTGTAGATGATTTCAAACAACCTGTAAAACTTATCTGGGAACAATAGACACCTCAGCTATTTGTTTTCAAGCAACTGTATTTGATTACTTTCTGTCTGTTTCATGGCTTTTTTGTATGAAATGCTTTGACATCAAGCAAAGTGTCATAACTTCAATTAATCAATTTAAAGAAAATAATTAGATACACTACTGTTCAAAAGTTTGCAGTCAGTAAGATTGATTTGAAAGAATTCACAGGAATAATTGCAAAAAGTCAATTTTTGCAATCATAGGAATACATTAATTTTAAAAATATGTTAAAATAAAGACAACAGTTATTTTAAAATTCATAATATTTCTGTTTTACTATATTTTTGATCAAATAAATGCAGACTTGGGGAGCATAAGAGACTTCTGTTAAAAACATAAAAAAAAAGCAAATTCTCCAAACTTTTGAATAATCTAATCTAATGTTATCTGATATATAATATAATATAATATTTTTTTATATCTAGGCTATATGTATATCTAATTTTCTTCAACAATGTCTCAGCATTATACAATTACCACGGTATTTTGTTTATCGCTGGAGTTACTCCTGAAGTTTTTAAGGTCAGTCTTATCTTACCAAAAAATATTTGGGTCCTTTATCTCTTGATTAATGAGCTCACTCTATTGATTTGTTTCTGGGTTTAGCTCTTTCTTTTTGCTTGACTGCACTTATCTATTGTTTTGAAATATGCACTGAAGCCTATCATACATTATACATTTGATATAACACATACAACCAACCCTTAAGGATGAGGCCTCTCACCTGATTAAAAATATGCAATATGTTCTGAAGACACTGCACTGAACATGTCCACCGGCAATGCATTTATCAGTCTGGGCTGGCTGTGGCAAGGATTTGCTTCCTCCCTCATTTCTCTCTCTCTCTCTCTCTCTCTCTCTCTCTCTCTCTCTCTCTCTCTCTCTCTCTCTCTCTCTCTCTCTCTCTCTCTCTCTCTCTCTCTCTCTCTCTCTCTCTGTCTCTGTCTCTGTCTCTGTCTCTGTCTCTCTCTCTCTCTCTCTCTCTGTCTCTGTCTGCAGGCTGTATGTAGCAGGCCGCAGTCTGGCCCCGGGCCTTTGGTGTGAGCAGTCTGCCCAAAGCCCCAGCTCTCCTCTCTCTGAGCATTCACTCTACCTCACTGAGGAAGAGGAGGTGTATGAAGCAGAGGGCAGCATAGAGGAGTTTTTAGCTTATGATGGAAAAGAAATGTACGTCACAAGTTGTCTTTTACTTAATCTGCCTACAACCTTTTTTGTAAGATTCATGTACTTAATTTACCCTTTTCATATTTCTGGGTTTCTCAGAAGTGGAAGTTTTTGATCAACTAGCAAAATAAAAACCTGCTGAAAAGAAAAAAGAAATAGAGAAATCTTGATAACGGCAGTCAGTAGAGAGAAAGATGTCAATTTTACCGTCACTCCCACAGCCACTGTATTAGAAACTCCCTCACAGTAGCGTTAACTATTTTTTTGTAATCGAATGCAAAGGTAATATAATACAAAGTATAGTGTTATAAATGTACATACATTATATATACAGTATATATACACTCACCGGCCACTTTGTTAGGTACACCTGTCCAACTGCTCGTTAACACTTAATTTCTAAGCAGCCAATCACATGGCGGCAACTCAGTGCATTTAGGCATGTAGACATGGTCAAGACAATCTCCTGCAGTTCAAACCGAGCATCAGTATGGGGAAGAAAGTTGATTTGAGTGACTTTGAATGTGGCATGATTGTTGGTGCCAGAAGGGCTGGTCTGAGTATTTCAGAAACTGCTAATCTACTGGGATTTTCACGCACAACCATCTCTAGGGTTTACAGAGAATGGTCCGAAAAAGAAAAAACATCCAGTGAGCGGCAGTTCTGTGGGCGGAAATGCCTTGTTGATGCCAGAGGTCAGAGGAGAATGGCCAGACTGGTTCGAGCTGATAGAAGGGCAACAGTGACTGAAATAACCACTCGTTACAACCGAGGTATGCAGCAAAGCATTTGTGAAGCCACAACACGCACAACCTTGAGGCGGATGGGCTACAACAGCAGAAGACTCCACAGGGTACCACTCATCTCCACTACAAATAGGAAAAAGAGGCTACAATTTGCAAGAGCTCACCAAAATTGAACAGTTGAAGACTGGAAAAATGTTCCCTGGTCTGATGAGTCTCGATTTCTGTTGAGACATTCAGATGTTAGAGTCAGAATTTGGCGTAAACAGAATGAGAACATGGAACCATCATGCCTTGTTACCACTGTGCAGGCTGGTGGTGGTGGTGTAATGGTGTGGGGGATGTTTTCCTGGCACACTTTAGGCCCCTTAGTGCCAATTGGGCATCGTTTAAATGCCACGGCCTACCTGAGCATTGTTTCTGACCATGTCCATCCCTTTATGGCCACCATGTACCCATCCTCTGATGGCTACTTCCACCATGTCACAAAGCTCTAATCATTTCAAATTGGTTTCTTGAACATGACAATGAGTTCACTGTACTAAAATGGCCTCCACAGTCACCAGATCTCAACCCAATAGAACATCTTTGGGATGTGGTGGAACGGGAGATTCGCATCATGGATGTGCAGCCGACAAATCTGCGGCAACTGTGTGATGCCATCATGTCAATATGGACCAAACTCCCTGAGGAATGCTTCCAGCACCTTGTTGAATCTATGCCACGAAGAATTGAGGCAGTTCTGAAGGCAAAAGGGGGTCCAACCCGTTACTAGCATGGGGTACCTAATAAAGTGGCCGGTGAGTGTATATATATACACTCGCCTAAAGGATTATTAGGAACACCATACTAATACTGTGTTTGACCCCCTTTCGCCTTCAGAACTGCCTTAATTCTACGTGGCATTGATTCAACAAGGTGCTGAAAGCATTCTTTAGAAATGTTGGCCCATATGGATAGCATCTTGCAGTTGATGGAGATTTGTGGGATGCACATCAAGGGCACGAAGCTCCCGTTCCACCACATCCCAAAGATGCTCTATTGGGTTGAGATCTGGTGACTGTGGGGGCCATTTTAGTACAGTGAACTCATTGTCATGTTCAAGAAAACATTTTGAAATGATTCGAGCTTTGTGACATGGTGCATTATCCTGCTGGAAATAGCCATCAGAGGATGGGTACATGGTGGCCATAAAGGGATGGACATGGTCAGAAACAATGCTCAGGTAGGCCGTGGCATTTAAACGATGCCCAATTGGCACTAAGGGGCCTAAAGTGTGCCAAGAAAACATCCCCCACACCATTACACCACCACCACCAGCCTGCACAGTGGTAACAAGGCACGATGGATCCATGTTCTCATTCTGTTTACGCCAAATTCTGACTCTACCATCTGAATGTCTCAACAGAAATCGAGACTCATCAGACCAGGCAACATTTTTCCAGTCATCAACTGTCCAATTTTGGTGAGCTCTTGCAAATTGTAGCCTTTTTCCTATTTGTAGTGGAGATGAGTGGTACCCGGTGGGGTCTTCTGCTGTTGTAGCCCATCCGCCTCAAGGTTGTGTGTGTTGTGGCTTCACAAATGCTTTGCTGCATACCTCGGTTGTAACGAGTGGTTATTTCAGTCAAAGTTGCTCTTCTATCAGCTTGAATCAGTCGGCCCATTCTGCTCTGACCTCTAGCATCAACAAGGCCTTTTCGCCCACAGGACTGCCGCATACTGGATGTTTTTCCCTTTTCACACCATTCTTTGTAAACCCTAGAAAGGGTTGTGTGTGAAAATCCCAGTAACTGAGCAGATTGTGAAATACTCAGACCGGAACGTCTGGCACCAACAACCATGCCACGCTCAAAATTGCTTAAATCACCTTTCTTTCCCATTCTGACATTCAGTTTGGAGTTCAGGAGATTGTCTTGACCAGGACCACACCCCTAAATGCATTGAAGCAACTGCCATGTGATTGGTTGATTATATAATTGCATTAATGAGAAATTGAACAGGTGTTCCTAATAATCCTTTAGGTGAGTGTATATATATATATATATATATATATATATACATATTATATATATATATATATATATATATATATATAATATACCGGTAAAATCACAGTCTGTAACATACTATCATACCCCTCTATTATACTGCAACAGAAGAGATTTTTTGCTTCTTTTTTGCTTCATGAACAAACCATAATTATAGGGAAGACTGGGGAAAGTTGTCACACTTTTTAATCTCTAATATCCCTCAGTGTAGGTTTATTTTGAAAGTACAAATTCCTTAAATTATTCTGTAGCACCTCATTGCAGTACACGAGATCCAGGGGGCGGAGTTGGATCCAGATCTAAGGGGCGGAGATGGGTAGGATTAGGGGTGGGGTTAGGGATCAGGGGGCGGAGATGGGTAGGTTTATATGTAAGGTGGGAGGAGTTGGATCTGGATCCAACTCCTCCTCCTGGATTTCGTGTTTTAATCTCAAATTATTGGCCTCTAAAAAGCCTGAATTGAATATTTGCCCCAAAATATATAGAAATTTTAGTTTAAAAAAATATTACTATTACTATTTAGAATGTTGGTATTTAGGAGAGTTTTGAACTATGTGTTGAAAACAACAAACAAAATTTGAGCAAAAAGAACTGACTGTGATTACAATAGACATTTCAAAAATTAGCCCCAGTCTACCTTACACTAATTTGATTCCCATTGAATCACAAATAGTATTTTTTTTCGTTTCTTTAGCATTTCAATAGATATTCAGTAACTGGTCATCTAAGTTCTACAAATACTATACAGCCTTGTTATTACATCATATTTTCTGCAGTTTTACTGGTGAATAAAACCATCAGGACTCATAATAGTGTGCACTCGGTTTAAGGCATCCTGTCAGAAGGCAATCATTTATTGTAGCTCTGTAATTGTTTTGACTGTAGGGAGGATGAGGAGGTGGATCAGAGGAAGTCTTCATCCATGGCCCCCAGGGGTGGAGTCCCACCAGTATCCCCTCATGCATGCATCCGTGATGCTGTTGCAGATGAGCTGTTTGATGACGTGTGGAGGGAGGTGGTGGGTCTTCTGGAGAAGCTCTTACATAAGTACTGGGAGAAACAACTCCCCGGTGTGTCTGAATTACTGAAACCAACTTAACAGAATTAGCCAACAGTGCATGTGTGATCGATAAATCTTGGGTGGGTGAAGAACACCGTTTTTGCATGCATAAAGACCCCCTCGAAATGAAAATTGAGTTTTGTGGCTTTTAGTCCATGTATGTACACTAGTGTTCAAAAGTTTGGGGTCCGTAAGATTTTTAATATTTTTGAAAGAAGTCTCTTATGCTCACCAAGGCTGCATTTATCTGATCAAAAATACAGTAAAAATGGTAATATAGTGAAATATTATTGCAATTTAAAATAACCGCTTTCCATGTTAATGTTTTAAAATGTAATTTATTCCTGTAATGGAATTCCTGTCATAACTCCAGTCTTCAGTGTCACATAATCCTTCAGAAATCATTCTAAGCTGATTTGCTGCTCAATAAATATGTCTTATTATTATTACAATGTTGAAAACAGTTGTGCTTCTTAATATATTTGTGGAAACCATGATAAAAATGAGTGAGCCCTTTGATATGGTAAATATGTAAAAATAAAAAAATAAAAAATCATAATATTCAAAGAATAATGATCAATGATAGAAAACGTCTCGGTTACGTATGTAACCCTAGTTCCCTGATAGGGAACGAGACGCTGCGTCAAACGCTGCGGGAATGCCCCTGCGTTGTGTGTCATGAAACACGTATGGAATCAGCCCAATGGAGAGATGGAACGTCATAGGCGGGTGACGTCATCGACCAGGAAACTATAAAGCACCCCAAAAACACAAGCGCATCAGCTTCTGATAGGCTTGAAGGAGCGCTTAACGGGAATGCCGGGAGTATGGCAGCACGAAGCAGCGTCTCGTTCCCTATCAGGGAACTAGGGTTACATACGTAACCGAGACGTTCCCTTTCAAGGGAACTTCGAGCTGCGTCAAACGCTGCGGGAACGCGAATACCCACGTCGCCATAGGACCAAGTGACCGTCATGTGAGAACTAGCGCACAGAGGACGAGAGCACCTGTGCCCCAGGGGTAGAACTTAAGTCTAGGTCATAGAACCTAACAAAAGTATGCGGTGAAGACCATCCAGCCACATCACAAACATCACTCAGGGAAACTCCCGACAATAGAGCTTTGGAAGCCGCCATACTCCTAGTAGAGTGGGCTCGAACAGCCAAAGGTGAAGGCTGACCAGCCGACTCATAAGCAAGTGAGATAGCCTCGACCACCCACTTGCTCATTCTCTGTTTAGACGCAGGACACCCTTTCCTGGGTGGCCCGAAACATACAAACAGTTGTTCTGATTTCCTCCACAGGGCAGCTCTGTGGACATAAGCGTCTAACGCCCTAACAGGGCAGAGTAAATTAAGTTTCTCCTGGTCCGATGGTATAAATGGAGGAGGACAGAAAGCCTGCAGAACCGTAGGTCTAACCACATTAGTAGGGACCTTGGGAACGTAACCTGGTCTAGGATGCAGAAAAGCCTTAACCATGCCAGGCGAAAATTCCAGGCACGAGGGTGACACCGACAGAGCCTACAAATCTCCGATCCTTTTTAATGAGGAGATAGCAAGTAAAAAGATAGTTTTAAAAGTGAGAAACTTCTCGGAATCTTCTTCAATAGGTTCAAAAGGAGCTAGGGAAAGACCTTCCAATACAATGGCCAGATCCCAGGTTGGCACCCTCGTACGAACTGCTGGCCTCAGCCTCAAAGTGCCACGGAGGAAACGAGTTATAAGCGGGTGTCTCCCAAGAGAAACTCCACTGAAAGGGACGTGGTAAGCAGCTAGTGCCGCCACATACACCTTTAGTGTGGAGGGGGATAACCCTGTGGAGAAGCGCTCCTGCAGGAATTCCAGCACTGCACCCACTGGGCAGTTAACTGGGTCCTGCAGGTGTTCTCCACACTAAGAAGTGAAAAGTTTCCACTTCAAGGCATAAAGTTTCCTCGTGGATGGAGCTCTGGAGTGAAGAATGGTCTCAACAACCTCGGTTGAGAGACCAGACTCTATGAGCTGGGCCCCCTCAGAGGCCAAGCCCACAGTTTCCACAATTCTGGGCGGGGGTGACATATCGTGCCGCCCGCCTGAGAGAGTAGATCCCTCCTGACCGGGAGCTCCAAGGGAGAGCCGTCCAGGAGAGAAATCAGGTCCGCGAACCATACTCGGGCCGGCCAAAACGGGGCTACTAATAGTAGGCTGACCCCGTCCCGGCGAACCCTCTCCAGAACTCCTGGTAGCAGAGCAATCGGGGGAAAGGCGTACAGGCGTGACCTCGGCCACGGCTGCACCATAGCGTCCAACCCCAGAGGGGCTGGACGACTGATGGAGTACCATAGATGACAATGCGTGGTCTCCTTGGAAGCGAATAGGTCCACCTCGGCACGACCGAAACTCAACCAAAGGAGCTCCACCACCTCGGGGTGGAGTCTCCATTCCCCCGGCCTCGGCCCCTGCCTCGACAGGGAGTCCGCTACCACATTTAAATACCCGGGAAGAAACATTGCTCTCAGTGATAGTAGCTTCCCCTGGGACCACAGGAGGATCTGACGGGCCAACTTGTAAAGCCGGCGAGACCGCAGGCCCCCCTGATGATTGATATAAGAAACCACCGACGTGTTGTCTGACTGAACTAACACATAATGACCTCTCAGGTCTGCTAGGAAGTGCTTCAGAGCCTGAAACACTGCCAACATCTCCAGACAATTTATATGCCACGAGAGATGATGGTCCTGCCACAGACCTTGGGCTGGGCGACCACTCATGACCGCCCCCCACCCTGTGAGGGAAGCATCCGTCGTTAGCGTTACGCGACGACAAAGAGCCCCCAGCACAGGACCCTTGGACAGGAGCCAAGTTTCTTTCTACATGACCAGAGCACGAAGGCAGCGCCGCGTGACTTTGATCGTGCGGAGCGGATTTCCCCTCGGGGAGAACCCCCTGGTCCTGAGCCACCACTGTAACGGTCTCATGTACAACAGGCCGCAAGGTATAACGTTGGACGCTGCTGCCATCAGACCCAGCAGTCTCTGAAACTGCTTCACAGTAAGTAGCTGGCCTAGCTTTACTTGTTTCACAGCTGAGAGAATCGAAGCGATGCGGGTCGGAGAAAGTCGCGCCCGCATCGAGACCGAATCCCAAACGACACCCAGAAAAGTGGTCCTCTGGGAAGGAGATAGTACACTTTTCTTTGCGTTCAGCCTCAACCCCAACTTTCTGATATGAGCGAGGACAACATCTCGATGCCGAACCGCCATCTGCTCCGTCTGAGCTAAAATCAACCAATCGTCGATATAATTGAGAATACGAATGCCCTGAAGCCTCAGAGGCACTAGTGCTGCATCCATGCATTTTGTGAAAGTGCGGGGAGATAGGCTAGGCCAAACGGAAGAACCCTGTATTGGTACGCCTCGCCCTTGAAGGCGAACCTCAGGAACTTCCTGTGTTGTGGAAGGATGGAGATGTGGAAGTATGCGTCCTTTAGGTCTATCGTGACAAACCAGTCCTCGGATCTGACTTGAGACACGATCTGCTTGATAGTGAGCATCTTGAATTTTAGCTTCCTTACCGAGCGATTCAACAGGCGCAGGTCTAAAATTGGACGCAACCCCCCATCCTTCTTTGGAACGATGAAATATCGGCTGTAATAACCTGACTCCAAACTGGGAGGAGGAACCCGTTCTATAGCCTCCTTTTGAAGGAGCGTTTTCACCTCTTGTTCCATTACCGGAGCCTGCTCGGGGCCCACCACTGTGTGCAGAACCCCTTTGAATTTTGGTGGACGACACCTGAATTGGATAGCATAACCCTTTTCTACTGTCTGCAGGACCCAATGAGATATTTTTGGAAGGCTTTTCCACTCTGCCAGAAAATCTACTAAGGGTACCAGTCTCTCGAGACTGGCCTCTGGTATAACTTGAGCAGCAAACGCAGCGCCCTGTAACGGCGCACCGGCAGGGAACGACTGGTTTAACTGCTCTGAGACCCTCCTCAGAGGGAGCGAGCGTCCCTCGGGAAAGCGCTCGCTGGGACCGTCTACGCCCCGGCATAAAGGCGGGGTTGGCAGAACGGCCCCCTGAGGGCACCGAGGAAGAATGGGCACCGTAAAGAGAGGTGAACTCCTTTCCGCCTCGGTGGGGACCACCCTCAGCATCCTGAACGCCTCGGCGTCAGGACTTCTTCTTAGCCGAAGCCTTCTTAGACAATATCACTGTCCTCAGATCAGGTCTATTGCTAGAAGACTTCGGCTGAGAGTGCCGCGCCTGAGCCCACTGTCCAGCAGGGGGAGCACGAGACGCGACACTCTGCTTCTGCTGCGCCCTATGGGATGAGCTTGTAGACGGCCGGGGCTGCTCCCGCCCAGCAGCCCCAGGGACGTGAATTTTTAACGGGAGAAATTTTTTGAAAGCTGCAGCTTGTTTTTTCTCTTCCTGGAATTTGTCTATAACAGAATTAACAGCTTCGCCAAATAACCCCGAAGGAGAGAGAGGAGCATCTAAAAGAAAAGCTTTTTCTTTCTCTTTCATATTTGTCTGATTTAACCAGAGATGTCTTTCTGCGGCCACCAGAGCTGCCATAGATCGACCCACTAGCTTGGCCGATTCTCTGGTGGCGCGCAGGGATAAATCAGCAGCCTGACGCAGTTCTCGAACTACGTCAGTACTGACTTCCTCACTCTCAGTCACGTCCCTCAGCAGGTCAGCCTGGTATGCCTGCAAGATTGACATTGTATGCAGACATGACGCAGCCTGACCTGTAGCCGAATACGCTTTACCCACCAAAGCAGATGTATTTCTGAGGGGCTTGGTGGGTAATACCGGTGTCTTGAAAGATGACGCCGCCTCGGGGGAGAGATGGCTCGCGAGCGTCTCTTCCACGCGAGGCAAAGCGCCATAACCATATGATCTAGCCCCCATTATATTTGAATATGTAGATGTCTGGGGACTAAATATTCTATATGAAACCGGTTTCTTCCACGATCTCGACACCTCAGTGTGGAGATCGTGAAAGAACAGCAGACACCGGCGTGGAGGCTGAACACGTGAAGGCAAAAATCTTTCATCAAGTTTCGATTTCGACACAGACTCCTGTCTAATCATTGGCCATTCAATACTGAGTTTTTCAACAGCTCGTGTTAAAACCTCCATAAGCTCATCACTTTCGGGAGAGTGAGGTGGCGAATCCTCAGTCTCTCCCTCCATACTGACAACATCCAGCTCCTCAGAACTGGATAGCTGTAGTACAGGTGCCTCAGCCCGAGCGGAAGAAACCGCAGCGCGTGCTTCCGAATCCGGGACTGAGGCACTGGATCTCACAGGTGAAGGGAGAGATAAGGCAGCGCCCGTCTCTACCCCCGCTGTGAGATCCATCTGTGATCCCCACGATGAGCGCCGCCGCTCTGCCTCGGCAGAAGCGGGACCCGAACCGCGGGGAGCGCGCACCGAACCGTCCTCCTCAAGGAGCGCCCGGCGGGAGCGGAGCGTCCTTAGAGGCAGACGCTCGCAATGCTCGCAGTCAGCTCCCTCAAGAGCTGACTGGGCATGCTGCACTCCCAAACAAACAACACAAAGAACGTGTGTATCCCCACCCGTTAAATAACGCGAGCAGGGAGGAACACACTTCTTAAATTGCTGTTCGTTCGCCATATCTCTCAAATATATATAAATTGTTTGTGTGGTGCAGAGTATGTAAAGACAGACAATATTCACACAGGGACAGATTCACATAAAGCGCGACTGAAAGCACAGAAGCTGATGCGCTTGTGTTTTTGGGGTGCTTTATAGTTTCCTGGTCGATGACGTCACCCGCCTATGACGTTCCATCTCTCCATTGGGCTGATTCCATACGTGTTTCATGACGCACAACGCAGGGGCGTTCCCGCAGCGTTTGACGCAGCTCGAAGTTCCCTTGAAAGGGAACTCAATTACAGTCTCCTTGATGCATCAGCAGAATGAACTGTATTTGACCCTATGTGATTTTGTGCTACTCTGTGGCATTTTGGAGTAATAAAATGAAATTCTGTTGCTAATTTGACAGTAGTTAAGTGCATTGTTGGAGATTTCCCTCAATTCCTAATGTTCTTTTGGCATCAGATGGAGCAACACAGAGGAGAACATTAGAGAGCTACAGTCAAGTGCCTTCACCTCAGATCCCAGTTAAAGGACCTCACCTTCTTTTGTCCAGAGGTTCTAGTAGCAGAACCACATTCCTGTCAACATGCAGCAATAATGTACAGGTGACATTCTAAGAGAAACATACACTTTGCTGCAAAGTTGAGGTTCTGTCTGTTATTTTGTTCTCATGTTATGAATTTGCCATTTCTTCTATCAGGACTCAAGTGCCTACAAGATTAATTTAAATGGTGTTATGACAATCCAAGCAAAGCCTCTGCAACAGAGACATCAGGGATTTAGTGAGAGAGCCCTGTAAGTCTTTTGGAGTTTGGAAAGTTCATATCTAACCCGACAAAAACTAAACAAAACAGTTTTTCTATTGCTATTTCTATTTTTAAAAACTATTTTATAAGAAACAGAATTAAGAAGTATATTAACTAGAGATAAATCAACATGAAAACAAATGAAGGCCTACTACTTGATCTGTCTTTGCTTCTCCTAAGATATGACCCAGATGATGCACCAAGCGTCTTGATGTGTGTGAAAACCCAGGCTCTGAGAGGATCCTGCGCACTCTTACAGAAACCCACAGCCCAGCGCAGATTCCCCAGACTCTGTGGCAGGGTTCGGATGTACCACAGCCTTATGGGAAATGGAAGCCAACTCTTACGAGGAACTAGACTGTAAGATCAGCATACATTATTAAAGGACTTTAAAGGGATAGTTCATCCAAAAATGACAATTCTGTCATCATTTACTCACCCTCGTGTCTTTCCAAACCTTTATGACTTTGTTTCTTCTGTGTAATATAAACAGAAAGCTTTAAAATGTCAAAAGAGAAACACAGAAGTAGCATCAAAGTGGTTCACATGAAATTTGCACTATTGTCAAGTCTTATCCAGTCTTTTGAAGCCATATGACAACTTTGTGTGAGAAACTGAATGAAAAGTTGTCATGAAACAAATGTTGCGATAGTCTTTTCTTTTCTGTTGAGATGTATATCTAAGTGAAACGTGTTCCCTTTCGAAAGGGAACTCGCACTGCGTCGATGACGCTTTGGGGGAACGCCTCAGGCGTGACAGGTGTCTGAAATCACAATCAAATCACGGCAATCACATTGACCGGCGACAGCCCGTGAATCATTAGCGTGAATGATTAACGTGCGACCTGGAAGTATAAAAGGGTACGGAAGCCCTGAACCGCAACGTAAAAAAAAAGAAAAAAAATCAGTAAAAAACAACAACAAAAAAACTAGCATTTCGAGATTAAAGTCGAAATATTTCGAGATTAAAGTCGAAACCGCAACGTAAAAAAAAAAAAAAAATTCAGTAAAAAACCCCCAAAACTAGCATTTCGAGATTAAAGTCGAAACCGCAACGTAAATAAAAATAAAAAAATCAGTAAAAAAAAAAAAACTAGCATTTCGAGATTAAAGTCGAAACATTTCGAGATTAAAGTCGAAACATTTCGAGATTAAAGTCGAAACATTACGAGATTAAAGTCGAAACATTACGATAATACAGTCTTCCATAGAAGTGTGTGCATTCATAACAGTGCGCGTCCACTGGCTCAGAGCGCGTGTGTGTGTGTGTTATCTGGGCTTTCAACAAAATTATACACAGGTGCTAATCTACCAACAAAAATTACCATGGCGTTGCCTATTATAGATGAGCGCACGGACTCCGCCGGAGTAGGTATCACAATGGTCCAAACTTTATGTGGCAGTGTTTTTTAAATGTTTTCGTGCTCGTCTAGGCAACACTATCTGGGTCGAGAACACAACAGTAACCGTCCTGTCTCCCTCTTCACCGTAAATACGTTCTGGATACATTTTATCATTCTGTATCCAATCATTTGGCCGGATCCCGTGATTTCCTCAGATTTAATAACCACTAATGGTGGTTGAGAAGAGATTCTCTGATATGATTGTAAAGCGCTTTGAGTGTAGACATATGAAAGCGCTATATAAATGCCTCATTCATTCATTAATTCATTAATTCATTCATTCATTCATTCATTCATTCATTCATTCATAAAGCGGGATATCTCCATCCAGTCTGAAAAGTGTTTTCTGGGTTGGTTTTCCTATAGGCTAAAGTCTATTCCGGCGCAGTATATTTTATAACGTCCTATAATGGTAGCCTAATGCTGGTAGATTGTCACCTGTTGAATTTCCTTTTGTTGAAACAAAACACACACACACACAGTGTGAAACACTCGCTATGCACCATTATGAATGCCTGTGTGTGCGGCAATGTGAAACAATGGCAAGCACACACGCAACTTCCACGGAAGACTGTATTCTCGTACTCTCGAAATATTTCGACTTTAATCTCGAAATGTTTCGACTTTAATCTCGAAATGCTATTTTTTTTTTTTTTTACTGATTTTTTTTTTTTACGTTGCGGTTTCGACTTTAATCTCAAAATATTTCGACTTTAATCTCGAAATGCTAGATTTTTTTTTTTTTAAATGATTATTTATTTTTTTTTACTGATTTTTTTTTTTTTTTTTTAGTTGCGGTTCAGGGCTTCCGTAAAAGGGCGCCTTGCAAACATGACAATCACCTTTTTCGTCTTCAGGGACTGTTTGTCTGTATCGCAAGGAGGATTTACGGTGAGAATTTTTTTTTTTTTTTTCCAAAATGAAACGCACAGAGAAGGCTGACCGTTTTCGTGTGCCGACTCGTGCCCAAGGTTTTTGACACCGGGTGACAGACATGAACTGTGTGTTTTCTGCTTGGGTGAAGAGCACGCACGGGAGGTTCTCGAGGGAGCTTCCTCTGCAAACTGTGAGTGTTTTTCTTTAAAAACACCCCGCTCTCGTCTGGCCCTCTTCTCGAGTGAAGAGGGCTCAGCATCTGTACCTTATAGTTCAGGTCCCGCTCATGCTGAGGCAGAGCGGCGACGTGCATCATGGGGTTCCCAGATGGAGCTTGCCGATCGTCTAGAGAGGGGTGTAAACCTCTCAGACGATTCGACGGCTGACGAGGGTGACCTGCAGGTGGATGACGAGGATTATTCTCCTACTGTTCCTGCAGCGAGTGCTCAAGGGTGACAATCAGGTAGATCCTGAACCCTCTCAACCACCCTGCCCCGTGTATGCGGAGCTGGTGGATGTTATGGAGCGCGCCGCCAGCAGGCTGCAGCTGCCTTGGCGGCGCGCTAGGGGAGAAACCGCTCGGGGCCGGCTTGACAGTCGGTTTCTCCCTGGCCATAGGCCACCAGCTCAGGTGAGCCTTCCATTCCTTCCTGATCTTCACACGGAAATCGAGAGGGCATGGAAGAGCCCATACTCTGCCCGTATTCACCGACATCAGCGGGGTAGTTTCACTGATGTTGAGGGGATCGCAGAGCATGGGTATGTGTCGTTGCCGCCCATTGACAAGACGTTTGCTAACTATCTCGTGTCTGGGCAGGCGTCGACACTGAGAGCTCCAACCCTGCCATCCAAACCGCCAAAGACAACAGCGCGTTTGAATGGCAGAGCATACACGGCAGCGGGTCAGGCCGGTGCTGCTCTGCACACCATGGCGGTACTACAGGCGTACCAGGCTGACCTGCTGCGGGATCTCGACCAGGGGGCAGGGATGTCCCCTGAGGCAGTCACTGAGCTGCGCCAAACCACGGATCTTGCTCTCCGGGCCACCAAACAAACTGCTGCCGCGATGGTGGCCACGGAGAGACATCTGTGGTTAAACCTGGCCGACATCGGGGAGAAAGAGAAGGCCTTTCTCCTCGATTTGCCGGTTTCGCCCTCTGAACTCTTCGGCACCTCAGTGGAGGCGGTGGTTGGGAAGTTAAGGGAGGTGAAGGCACGCTCAGCTGCTTTTAGGACATGCATACCGCTGAGATCCGGGTCCATGCCCACTCGCCCAGGCAGGCGGGAGGGCCTGGCCCTTCATGGTCCGAGGACCGTAGACAGGGCCAGAGAGCCAGTGTTGCCTCTCATGCGCCCCCTCCATGTAGGAGCGGGAAGAGGTTTTGTTTTGGAGTATAGACTGACACTGGTGCTTCAGATAGATCTTATGTCCGGCCCACCGGACCGTCTGACATTTTTTATCCTGAGTACATGTCGTTCAGCCAAGGCCCGCCCCCTTCTCTGCATTCAGGGGTGCTAAGAGTAATGCAGGTTGCTAGTTGACCCCTTGGGTCTTTCAGGCAGGGTTAGGCCATCTTTCGCTCTGCGAAGAGATCGTTGCCAGACCCTGCACAGAGTTCTGAGTACACCATTTTCAGCTCTGTATCAATCTACATCACACCACGATGGCTCGGGCTGAGCGGAGAGTTCTAAACTTCATTTTATTCTGTTTTTTTAATTACGCTCCCTTGTAGCCAGAGCATTGCCATGAGCTGACGCCCATGCATATAGATGGTAGGCCCCTCATCTTGGGCCTCCACTAGGCAGAGTGGCGTATGTTGTACTTCCCTGCTTTAAGGATTTTGCTTTGTTGCTGAGTACACTGCCTTTCGCAATGTGATTAGATACCAGGCTGCTGTAGGTGCTGTTAAACAGCTTTTCTGCCAACGAAGGCTGCGTGGTTAGGTAGTAGGCCTCAGCAGGCCTCCTTGACCGGGCAGCCCCCAAGAGGGCTCTTTAGGCCAGCTTACCTCAGGTGGTTGGCCTTAGTAGTTCAGGCAGTAGACTCACTGATGGGTAGTAGGCCTTAACAGGCCTCCTCGGAGGTGGGTCCCAACATTGTGGGACATACATTATGGCCAGGTAGCTAGCCTTATCAGGCCTCCTGTGGGTGGGCCCAATAATATGTTAAAATAGTATGGTTCCCAACAGTGTATGTTGTAGCAGAATATACTTGCTATCAGCTAGTAGGCCCACCCAGGCCTCCCTGATAGACGAGTCCCCTTATCAGGCCACCATGTAGCTCAGTCCCCGACACCTCTGGTCCATGGTAGTTAGTCTCTTTCTTGAGAAGACTTTCAGGAGGCTGGCTTAAACAGGCCACTCTGAGACTGAGCCCCAGGACTAGCTGGCCTTAGCAGGCCGCCCTGGGACTGTCACCCGGATTCAGGGCTCATAGCATCCAATTGTTTAGATTGCTATCAGGTAGTAGGCCTCTTCAGGCCTCCCTGAAGGTGGGCTCCCATATATTGTGGTTGTCAGGTAGTAGGCCTCATCAGGCCTCCCTGAAGGTGAGCCCCCACATTATGTGGTCGTAAGGTAGTAGGCTTCACCAGGCCTCCCTGAAGTTGAGTTCCCAAATACAGTGGTTATCAGGTGGTAGGCCTCACCAGGCCTCCCTGAAGTTGAATTCCCACATATGGTGGCTATCAGGTAGTAGGTCTCACCAGGCCTCCCTGAAGGCAAAGCCCTAAGGACAGACAACTGGACAGCCAGCCTGGCTTGCTATCGGGTAGTAGGCCTAACCAGGCCTCCCTGAAGGTGAGCTCCCACATAATGTGGTTATCAGGTAGTTGGCCTCACCAGGCTTCCCTGATAGTGAGCTCCCACATAATGTGGTTATCAGGTAGTTGGCCTCACCAGGCTTCCCTGAAGATGAGTTTTCCACATATGGTGGCTATCAGGTAGTAGGCCTCACCACGCTTTCCTGAAGGTGAGCTCCCACATATTGTGGTTGTCAGGTAGTAGGCCTCACCAGGCCTCCCTGAAGGACGAAGTTTCCACTTATGGTGGTTATCAGGTAGTAGGCCTCACCAGGCCTCCCTGAAGGATGAAGTTTCCACTTATGGTGGTTATCAGGTAGTAGGCCTCACCAGGTCTCCCTGTGAGTGGTTTCCCAGTGGTGCTGGGTTCAGGAAGCTAGTGGCCGCTTGCTATCAGTTTAGCTGGCCTTAACAGGCAGCTGCTGAAGGCGAGCTTGCGCCCTGGCTCGACTAAAGTGTTCATTCTCTGCTACTGGTTCCCTTCCGGAACCTCTTTTATCCTGCCTACAGCCTGGTTTGCCTACCAGGACACTGTGTCTCCTTGCCATGCCTCGGGGCTTGCCTACCAAACAGTCCCTTCAGACGAAAGGTGATTGTCATGTTTGCAAGGCGCCCTTTTATACTTCCAGGTCGCATGTAAATCATTCACGCTAATGAATCATGGGCTGTCGCCGGTCAATGTGATTGCCGTGATTTGATTGTGATTTCAGACACCTGTCACTCCTGAGGCGTTCCCCCAAAGCGTCATCGACGCAGTGTCTTGTTCCCTGTTCTCAGGGAACATAGGTTACAGTCGTAACCTGAGACGTTCTCAAACAAGAAAACTTGATTTTGCTTATCGGGAATTGATTGGATTGTTGGATCGTTGCAGTTTGCTATTGGTGTGATCTCATTTGAGTGACAGGTTGTCCTGGCCTCGCTCCAGTAAACGTCATCAGAGAAGAGAAGAGAAGAGAAGAGAAGAGAAGAGAAGAGAAGAGAAGAGAAGTTATAAAGAGGAGAGGAAGTTATTTTGATTGAAGATTGGGCACATGAATAAAAAAAAAATATGTGCATGGATAAATCATTTATAATAAATACTGCAATATTTCATTAAAAAAAAGAATTGTCCATTTTAATTTCATGGTGACTTTAAAGTCATTATTCACTGATAATATTGACATCCCTAGTTGGCACCATCATGAGACTTCATGAAAAAGTAATGATGTTCGACTCTTGAACAAATTATTCTTTTGAGTCAGATACTTTCATTGAATCTGTTCAATACAGTTCACCAAACTGTCTGAATGAATTGTTAACAAATCAAACTGATTTGGTTCTAAAGTTTAACTCACTGACTCACTGATATAGTTGTAGCAGTTAACAGCTCCCTGGAAGGGAAGACTGTCTGTAAATAAAGATTTGTTAAAAAAGATTTGTTCATCATAAAAAAACTATAAAATGGCTTTAGAACACTTGGAATATAGTACACAAGACAAATGCTTTTATGGTCATTTTAATGTGCTTTTTGAAGCTTGGAAGCTCCAGTAGCTATTTATTGCTGTTACATGGAGAGAAATACTGTATCTTCTTTTGTGTTTCTCTGCGAATGTTTTTGGGTGAACTACACCTCTGTGCGCATCGTTTTATATCCTCACAAGTTTTACGTAAAGAATGTGATACGAGAGGTTCTGCTGCAGTAACAACTTAATGCATGATGCAACTCTTTCATAATATGTTGTTGCAGATTATTCAATGCAAGGTCTACTGGGGTTGTGTTATAACAGGCTAAGACCTTTTGAAATGCAGACTCTTTTTAAAAGGGCTTGTTAAATTAGTCCCTCAAGCTGCATTGTACCTAAATAATTGTAACACTGTTTAACCTTGTCATCACTGAGTAAACATGCAGATTGCTAATTTAAGTATGTGTTCTTGGGTTTGTTTCTCACAGATCCACTGTGAATGAAAGCCTGCCCTCTCCCCCAGTGAGTGCCGTTCAAAACCACAGGCTTCCTCAGATACATTCTGAGTCCCCAGAGCAGGATTACTATGCGCCTATTTCTAGGCTTGTGCAGGTAACAAGCCACACCGGCGTCACTGTGGCCTGCAGACTATTGATCTGCCTTATAACATACATACATTACCTTTCAAATGTTTCGGGTCAGAAAAATGTATACTTTTATTCTCAAAAGACTCATGAAATTGATCAAAAGTGGCAATAAAGACATTCATAAAGTTTCAAAATATTTCTATTTTAAATAAATGCCGTTCTTTTGAACTTTCTATTCATTAAAGAAACCTAAAAATAGTGTGCAGACTTTGATCTCTGTAAACAGAGATAGCAGCAGTTTTTTTTAATGGGTGAAAGGGACATATTGCCTCCATAGTCTAGTTGATATGACATTAGAAATAGTAAACATGGTTGCCCTTTGCTCTTTTATAGAAAGTTCAAACTATCTTAAACTAATATCAAATTTTTAATTGGAAGGAATATGGCAACAAGTTCTGTGTAAGTAAATGTGTATTTAAGGATGTTTGGCAATTCAGTCTGCACTGATTTGGTTTGATTTCAGAGTCAAAGCTGTGATCTCTCTCTGTATCTCCTAGCTCAGAGGGAGGGTCATAAGAGGCGGAGCTACCAGTGTCACGCATGCAGTAAACAATCTCCCACCATTGAGAGAGCCCACCCTGATGCTGGAGTCTCTGTCTCGGCCCAATACTACTCATACATTCAGAGTAATTCACTACAACTATGATCATAGTACAGTATTTACACTGGGGGAAAAAATGGTGTAGAATTTACTTTGAAACTATTTTAAAAAATTGCTAGTACATTTCAAATACAAATAATTATGGCAAGTAACACATATATTAAACATGATTTTTTTTAAGTAGAATGATTGAAATAGTATTTTCTTGTAAAAGGAAGTCCAGTAGTAGTCATTGTGGTATCAGATGTTAGGCAGTTATAGCTATTGGTAACCAGCAGTTTAATGTAAAACAAAACCAAATACCAAAAGAGTTCTATACAACTTTGTAGAAACATGACACCACATCCTACAAGAAGTGATATAGATACTTTCCTGGTTCAGACACTGCTGTGGTAACACTGCTTGAAATAGGTGGTAAATTGGACAGAGTCTATTGTTTAGATGTAACCCATACCATGTTTTTGTTCTGCAGTCCGACACCCCGATGAAAAGGTCATTCACACCTATGGATTTTGCCTGTAACATGAGGACAAGTCGAGGACTTGTCAAAGGTGCGTCACTTTTACAAAGTAGGTTCCTGATTTGGCTAGTGGCATGAAGGACAACACAAACACACTATGGCTTTACTTTCTACAATTTTACTTCTTAAACATAAGTAATTTAAAAAAAATAAGATGACAATAAAAGCTATTTCTGTATGCCTCTTAGGTGAGAGCACACCAATGGGTGTGACAGGCTTCAGTATGGGTATCACCAGCTCTACAGCTAGTGGGTTCTTGGAGTGTGCCACACCTAGCAGGAGGTGTCTGCCCTGTGTTGATGGGGAAGGAGGGAACATGCCCCTGCTCGGCTCTATTGGTCAGTGCGGTACTGGCTTATTATCTTTCATCTAATATAAATGTAACAGTTTATTACACTCTTAGAAGAAAAGGTTCTACATAGAACCTCAAAGGGTTTTGCCAGCCGCCTCATATATAGAACCATATATAGAACCCCTATTATGCTATTTTAAAGGTTCCTGATTTTGGATGTCCCCTACAATAGGTTTACATGCATCCAAGGTCTAAAAACACTTACATAATACAGGTCCTTCTCAAAAAATTAGCATATTGTGATAAAGTTCATTATTTTCCGTAATGTAATGATAAAAATTAAACTTTCATATATTTTAGATTCATTGCACACCAACTGAAATATTTCAGGTCTTTTATTGTTTTAATACTGATGATTTTGGCATACAGCTCATGAAAACCCAAAATTCCTGTCTCAAAAAATTAGCATATTTCATCGGACCAATAAAATAAGTGTTTTTAATACAAAAAAAAAAAGTCAACCTTCAAATAATTATGTTTAGTTATGCACTCAATAGTCAATACTTGGTCGGGAATCCTTTTGCAGAAATGACTGCTTCAATGCGGCGTGGCATGGAGGCAATCAGCCTGTGGCACTGCTGAGGTGTTATGGAGGCCCAGGATGCTTCGATAGCGGCCTTAAAGGATTAGTTCACTTTTAAAAAAACTTTTGCTGATAATTTACTCACCCCCATGTCATCCAAGATGTCCATGTCTTTCTTTCTTCAGTCGAAAAGAAATGAAGGTTTTTGATGAAAACATTCCAGGATTTTTCTCCATATAATGCACTTTGCTGGGCACCAAACGGTTCAAGGTCCAAAAGACAGTTTCAGTGCAAACTGCAAACTGTTCAAAGGGCTTTAAACGATTCCAGACGATGAATAATGGTCTTATCAAGCGAAACGATCGGTCATTTCAAAAATAAATAACAAAGTTTAAGTTTAATAATGTCAAATGCTCGCCTTGCTCTGTTCTGTGATGCACGTTCGTGACTCTCCTGTTCAAACTCGTTCATCAAAATGAACAAATCTTTTTTCGAGTCATTTGGTTCATTTAACGAACGAAATGAACGAATTGACTCGGAAAAAGATTCGTTCATTTTGATGAACGAGTTCGAACAGGAGAGTCACACAGAACAGAGCAAGGCGAGCATTTGAGCTTATAAAACTTAAACTTTGTTATTTCTTTTTTAAATGAGCGATCGTTTCGCTTGATACGACCCTTATTCATCGTCTGGTGTCGTTTAAAGCCATTTGAACAGTTTGCAGTTTGCACTGAAACTGTCTTTTGGACCTTGAACCGTTTGGTGCCCAGCAAAGTGCATTATATGGAGAAAAATCCTGGAATGTTTTCATCAAAAACCTTAATTTCTTTTCGACTGAAGAAAGAAAGACATGGACATCTTGGATGACATGGGGGTGAGTAAATTATCAGCAAAAGTTTTTTTAAAAGTGAACTAATCCTTAAAGCTCATCCAGAGTGTTGGGTCTTGCGTCTCTCAACTTTCTCTTCACAATATCCCACAGATTCTCTATGGGGTTCAGGTCAGGAGAGTTGGCAGGCCAATTGAGCACAGTAATACCATGGTCAATAAACCATTTACCAGTGGTTTTGGCACTGTGAGCAGGTGCCAGGTCGTGCTGAAAAATGAAATCTTCATCTCCATAAAGCTTTTCAGCAGATGGAAGCATGAAGTGCTCCAAAATCTCCTGATAGCTAGCTGCATTGACCCTGCCCTTGATAAAACACAGTGGACCAACACCAGCAGCTGACATGGCACCCCAGACCATCACTGACTGTGGGTACTTGACACTGGACTTCAGGCATTTTGGCATTTCCTTCTCCCCAGTCTTCCTCCAGACTCTGGTACCTTGATTTCCGAATGACATGCAAAGCTGAGCAACAGTCTAGTGCTGCTTCTCTGTAGCCCAGGTCAGGCGCTTCTGCCGCTGTTTCTGGTTCAAAAGTGGCTTGACCTGGGGAATGCTGCACCTGTAGCCCATTTCCTGCACATGCCTGTGCACGGTGGCTCTGGATGTTTCTACTCCAGACTCAGTCCACTGCTTCCGCAGGTCCCCCAAGGTCTGGAATCGGTCCTTCTCCACAATCTTCCTCAGGGTCCGGTCACCTCTTCTCGTTGTGCAGCGTTTTTTGCCACACTTTTTCCTTCCCACAGACTTCCCACTGAGGTGCCTTGATACAGCACTCTGGGAACAGCCTATTTGTTCAGAAATTTCTTTCTGTGTCTTACCCTCTTGCTTGAGGGTGTCAATGATGGCCTTTTGGACAGCAGTCAGGTCGGCAGTCTTACCCATGATTGCGGTTTTGAGTAATGAAACAGGCTGGGAGTTTTTAAAAGCCTCAGGAATCTTTTGCAGGTGTTTAGAGTTAATTAGTTGATTCAGATGATTAGGTTAATAGGTCGTTTAGAGACCCTTTTCATGATATGCTAATTTTTTGAGACAGGAATTTTGGGTTTTCATGAGCTGTATGCCAAAATCATCAGTATTAAAACAATAAAAGACCTGAAATATTTCAGTTGGTGTGCAATGAATCTAAAATATATGAAAGTTTAATTTTTATCATTACATTATGGAAAATAATGAACTTTATCACAATATGCTAATTTTTTTAGAAGGACCTGTATACATCGCCTCATTTCTTAAAGAGTCTGAAAACGGTTAATTCAAAGATTCAGTCTGTTTAAACCCCTCAGAGAGCCTACTCTGCTCTGATTGGTCAGATGGCCCAGTCTGTTGTGATTGGTCTACTGGTTACAACGCGTGTCGAAAACAAAACGCCTATTACCATATCTGAATTTCAGCTCTGGAGGTTTCCTCAGCACTTGATACACAGTGATACGAACAATGGATGGCGTTGGTTTTTCTGATTCAATTCCAGCCCGAGTCCTCATCCTTTTGAAGTGCATACAAATTGTATTCACAGTGCTGAAAACAGTGTCTTATTGACATACTAACAACACAAGCCAAACTCTTCCAGGCCTCAGCTACAACTACAGTGTTTGAGGACTGCTTAAAGTATGGTTTTACATTGTCATGTAGGTACAATATGTAACAGGAAGTGAGACTGGAATTGCTGACGACTCATTTCAGCAGTTCAGAATCGATTCTTTCTTTAGGAGACAATAACTTTATTCATCAAGCACTTTGATCTTTAAAACGTTGTAGAGATTTTACATTCACATACAGCTATATTACACACTGCATGAAAGGTAATATTCAAAAAAGCATAATAGGGGCATTTTAAAATTGAGTCAAAATCCCTAGGGTTCTAAATAGAACCCAATTGAACCTTTTTTTCTGAGAGTTGGTTTCACATAGTTTAAATTAATTGCCCTTTGTTGATGTTTATTTAATATAGAATATATCTTTAAAGCCTGAACCAATTAACTGTTCAGTCTACACACCATATGCTGTGTAGAATCAACAAATAAATGAACCAGAAAAATAAGCAATGACAAAGGGGGCTTTAATTAAAAGGAATATGTGTGAGTTGTCAGTAAGATATGGACATTATTTAGCTTTTGGGACACTGGAGATTAATTAACACATTTAATAAGGCAGAGTCCTAGAGAAGAGGTTCACATAATGAAAATATTTCTTTAAGACTGAGTAAACCACCAATACAATCTGTTTTCAGGTGGCCAGAATCATCGGAAACAGTTGAGCCGGTTTCCATTGCATGTGAGGAAGAAATTTCAGCCTGTCATGCCATAGCAGGGGAGTTAATTTTGTAATTAAATGAAAGAGCTTAACAGGGCAGACATGAATGCAACAGGTTGATGAGCACTGATATTCAATCACTGTCATAATATGACTTTATTGTATGTATTTTGTGTCACCATATGTCCAGTTACAAACTGTCACATGCAGTGCCTTCAGTTTATGGACTTGATAGTTTTTCACAGTGACCTGGAGAACAATCTGGAGCTAACAGGACAAATGACCTTATGCATCCCTGTTGTTTCCTTTTTTACCATTTTGAAGGATGAATGCCAAACATGTTTTGTTAATGCATATCGAGTTTAATATTAATTTGGTTTTACTGCAGATGTCTGAGGCCAACAGGTTGATAAAACAAAATGCATAGCCTAATTATTTATTTACAGTGATGGTTGATAATACTGATTTAACCTACCAAACTTATTTCAGCAACATTTTATTTAGACTTCTCCTCGGTGGAGTCATTTGCAATAAAATTGTTATATAATTTGGCAAATGTTCAGTAATATATCACAGCAATCAAATATTATAATCAAAATATATTATAGTGTTTCCTGGTCTTAAAATTATTTTATCTATGCTCACTTTCACAAAAAAATTGTTAATATGTTTGCTCTAGATTGTAATTGGATGAAAGAGATAACTAGAATAAAATCCAGACCATTCAAGGTGCTTTTCTATCTTTAACAATATACTTGACAGACCTCTTCCATTGGAGAAAGACAGCTGAATTTGTGCTAGTAAATCACAACACACAGTTGTTCATTATTGCTGCATTACTTCTGTTGTCTGTTAATGTTTTAGCGGGAGGCACTTTACCCACAGATAACCTGCATGTGTCCCAGTTATCATAACTAAATCTGTTTGATTAGCCCAGGGTGTTTTTCTCTCACTCTCTCTCTCTCTCTCTCTGTTTGTACTAAAAGAGTGAAACTGTTAAGTCTGAAGTTCACGGTGAAGCAGTCTGTGCTCCTCTTTCAGAGCATTAGTTACAGCCAGTTTCATCGAAACAAAATGGGCGTCCTTTTTGGATTATACATCCTGGGGATTATATTTACAGCCGTTCTTCTACTTCTTTTGGTATCTACCACATATCATCCATTTAAAAATTATATAGGAAAATGGAACGAAATGAGACCAATTCCAGGAATGCCAGGCGCTTATCCAATCTTTGGCAATGCACTGCAGTTTAAAGTCAATGCAGGTGGTAAGGGATTATGATCTTTTTGACTAACATCAGCTCTTGCTACCATTGATTGATGATCATTTAACACTGCAAAATTATAAAAGTGTGTTTCTGTTAAAGATTTTTTCAACCAGATTATTGAGGGCACAAATGAAAACCGACACCTTCCTCTAGCAAAGGTGTGGGTGGGTCCAGTCCCCTTTCTGATCTTGTATCATGCAGAGAATATTGAGGTGCCTATTTGTCAAATTTTATCCTCTCCATTTACTTTTTGATGTGTATAATTATGTTTTCCTCACAGTTTCCTCATACCTATATTTTTCTATCAGGTGGTCCTCAGTAATTCCAGACACCTTGACAAGTCATACCCATATAAGTTCCTGCACCCGTGGCTCGGCACAGGCCTGCTCACTAGGTACAGTGGGTTTGCCACCAATTTGTTTGTGAAAATTACACTGTGCTTGCTTGCTTTCTTTTGCAATTCTATTACAATCTGTTGTAATGCTCACTGTAAATATGTGAAATTAAGTTAATAGGGTAGCATCAGAAAAAAATCCTACTGTCAATTTTATGTTAAAATAGCTTCTCTCATCTTAATATAGATGAATAATAGACATATTTAAGTATTTACATCTGAATGTTAATTTTCCCCAAAATGTGTTAACACAGTGACCTTAGACAGACTGGAAAAGCAACAATGGCTTTGACAAGCAACCAATGGAGTGAGTTTCGGGTGGGGTTACCTCTTTCTTCGACCAATGAGAGATCAGGGGAGGTTTTTTTGGGGGGGGATTACATTCTGAATAATTTTTGGGACAACTTAGGTCTTTTTTTCTTGATATTATGTGACAATCTGAGGGTATTTACATTTATGCAGATTTGTCAGCAGCTTTTTTATTTGAAGAAAGGTTTATGTGAAATTTGCTGGGATTTACCCCATGATTGTGCCGTTGCTAGTGCCTTGCTCTACTGTTTAAGTATTAGGAAAGCACACACAAAAAAATATATATATATAAATACACTTTTGTGAATTTAAAAAAAAATTTTTGTTAAATACAGTTTTAACAATCATATGTCCTTGTGTTCTCTTTTATGTAATGTGTGAGAAGTTTTGTTTCACCTTTTTCATAGGGTCACACCCGGAACAAAATTGTAATAATGCAAGGGTTAAAAACATCATTATATTTGCAATTGGTGATGTTAGAAATAACTACATGTCTATTATCTATTAAGTAGAAAGAGCAGTGCTGTCTTGAATCTCTCTGTTATCTAAAAAAGCCGCAATCATGTCCTTCAAAGCTCAGAACATTTAAAGTCAATCTAAACTTTGTTTCACATAAGGTAGAGGACCACCTGCCAAACTGGCAGATCTCATATCTCATATTCAAGAGCAGCTTGCATCAAGCACTGCAAACAAAGTCTATCAAAAGCACAGTTTATAATCAGCCACACCGGACACAAGGTCTCTGGCCACCTGTCCAAACGCAGCAGAGTCCAAAAACACAGACATTTAATACAAAATGACCCAGATGTTCACTTTAGGCCTTTACAGTATGTAAGATAGGTTGAGGTCACAGACTTGACTCTTCTCAACTTTTCTTTCCACAGCACAGGGGAGAAGTGGCGTAACCGGCGTAAAATGCTGACTCCAACCTTCCACTTCTCTATCCTCTCTGACTTCCTGGAAGTGATGAATGAACAAACAGACATTTTGATTCAGAAGATGCAGAAGCAGGGAGATGGAGAGCCGTTTAACTGCTTCAGCTACGTAACCTTGTGTGCTTTGGACATCATATGTGGTACAGTACATCCAATCTTTCCTTAGCACAACGTGAGAGTGCTGTTAAGGTTTTCCTGCTGCTTTGTTTACACACTGCTCATGCATGCTAATGTAAAATATCCCTAACACTTATCGCTTAGTTATAATAACCATTGATAAAACATATGGGATATGTTTGTCTGCAACAGAAACTGCAATGGGAGAGAAGATCTATGCTCAGAGCAATGCTGACTCTGAGTATGTTCAAAGTGTCTATAAGTAAGTAGTGTACGTATGTAAGTATGTAATGGCGCTTTTCCATTACCAGTACCAGCTCGCCTCGACTCGGCTCGCTTTTCGCTCCGTTTACCATTGCAGAAAGTATCGCCACAAATAGTACCCGGTCGTCATAGCGACGCCTTTCGTTCCTCGTTGCCCCATCAAGCTCTCGCTGGATCCTCTCTTCGGCAACCAAACAAAGGAATGTCTGCACCTCCTCGTTTGACCACGGCGTATTCTTCCGAGTTGCCATAATAATAGTAGTAAGTTTAGTAACTATCTCTGGCCAAACTATTTAAAAATGGCGGGGTTATTCTGGATACTCCATCTGGCGCGTGCAATGATGACGCAGTGAATAGTGACGATTCTCTCTGACCAATCAGCAGTCGGCATTGTTTTCACGTCACATTTTAGTATCGCCTCAGCTCGCTTAGAACCTCGCCGGAGGTGGTACGAAAAAAAGTACCCGAAAGCAGGTACAGGTACAACTTTTACACAGTGGAAAACCAAACAGAGTCGAGTCGAGTCGAGCCGAGCCGAGGCGAGCTGGTACTGTGTAGTGGAAAAGCGCCATAAGTACTTCAATGTTACTAATAAATAGGGGAGCCATGTTGTCCTCTCTGAGAACTGACTGTTTATATAGACCTTATGTAGCCCCGCCCCTTTTCAGCGCTGCGCTCGTTGTCTTTTGACTTCCGGTCTGTATTTTCACAGCGATCTTGCATAGGTATGAATGAACTGCTCGTAAAAAATTTCCCGGTCGACATTTGTTAAGACATCTGCTTTACAATGCTTATGATAAACACTACAATGCTCATGATAACTTTTGTTAACTCTACAATAAGTAAATCCACTTCACCAGCTAATTACTCCTGGACTGCGATGTCATAGAAATATACAGAGCGAACGCAAAAACGGAAGTTCAAAGACAATATTCTAAAGATGACGGCGCCCACGTTTCTCTGGTGCATAAGGTCTATTCCTCTTGCAGAATGAGTGACATTATCACCAAGAGACAGAGAGCACCATGGCTGTGGCCAGACTGGATCTACAACATGTTGCAGGAAGGCAAAGAACATTCCAGAAGATTGAAGATTCTCCACTCTTTCACTACAAGTGTGAGTGATCACACTTTTTTTTTTCTGTGAATGTGTGAGACTTCCGATTCAATATGTAAATAACTAAAACAATAACAAAGTCCAGTAAATTGTAAAACTATTTGCACTGAAAACCAATGTGTTTAGAATTATAATAATACATCAAAATAATATGATAAGAAATTCTAGCTTGCAATATAAAGCAGCAATAACTGGCATTTTATACAGGTAAAATAACTGAAAGAGAATAAAATTATGATTTACGTTAAAAATAAGGTGGATGGCACACGCTAGGGTGGATAGCACACGCTAGGGGGGATAGCACACGCTAGGGGGGATAGCCCCCCCCCCCCCCCCCCCCCCCCCACACACACACACACACAAAAAAAATCGAATTATAATTGCTAAATACAAACCTTTAGATTATTCGTACAGAATTTTCTGTTTTCTTGACCTGAAGGTCATCAAGGAGAGAGCGAAGTTCATGAGCTCTGAGCCTGATAGTGATTCTGACCAGGGGCAGAGGAAGAGACAGGCCTTCCTAGATATGTTGTTAAAAACTACTTATGAGAACGGACAGCATTTGAGTCATGAGGACATTCAGGAGGAAGTGGATACCTTCATGTTTGAGGTACAAATAAAACAATAAAAGGAAAGTTTGTCAAGACAAAGGTTGAACATTATTTTAAGGACCATTCTCTTTAACAGGGTCATGATACCACAGCAGCTTCAATGAACTGGTCCTTACATCTGATTGGCTCCCATCCTGAGGTCCAGAAGGCATTGCAGGCAGAACTACAGGAAGTGTTTGGTACACAAGTCTTTCTCACAATGTGGGATGTATTTCATTTAGCATAATGTGTTCTCAATTAAAGCAGTTGTTCTGTTTACTCCGTAGTCAAGAAAGCAGCTTGGGGATGTTTCCTAACAACCTCATTTAAAGTTCAGCTGCATCTCCTGCGTTCTGATTGGCAGGTTCGTCAGAGCGGCACGTGGGGGTGGAGGACCTGAAAAAGCTGCGCTACCTGGAGTGTGTTATCAAGGAGAGTCTGCGGATCTTCCCCTCCGTGCCTCTGTTTGCACGCAGCATCTGCGAGGCCTGTCAAATCAGTAGGTGGCAGCAGTTTGTCACCTTGCCAAACAGCGCAGCAAACGGCGCAAGATCAAAGATCTGCATTTTTTGATGCCACTCTCATTATTTGCATCTCAGCATAACAGCAGATGTCACAGCATCTATTTCCATCTCCCATTGTCAAATATGAAGCACCCTGAGTGTTTATTTCTAGATAAGAGCTAAGAGTCTTTCATGTCAAGGTTAAATGAAAGAGCAGCTGAATGGGAAATAGCAACTTTTCAGGACAGAAAGTGTTGCAATGCGCAATAAATGCATCTGTTTATCAATTATTTATTAAAGCTTTATTCTGTTTCCCACACAGCGGTAAAGTTTGGCATGTGTGCAGTGCGCTAAATCCTGTTTAGTTGTTAAATTTCTGTGACATGTATGTATAAAATAACTGACTGAGGTTGTTTTGTTGCTCGTTTGCAGATGGGTTCAAAGTTCCAAAAGGAGTGGATGCTGTTATCATACCATATGCTCTTCACCGGGACCCGCGCTACTTCCCAGAACCTGAGGAATTTCGACCGGAAAGGTTTCTGCCAGAGAACAGCAAAGGGAGGCATCCATATGCATACATCCCTTTTTCTGCAGGGCCAAGAAACTGCATCGGTAAGAAAAAGAACAGAATGATAACACAAAAAATTGGTATAATAGAAATGATAAGACTAAATGCTATCCAGTATAATATGAATTAATGTGAAAAGGAGCACATTTTAATTTTGGGGCATTCTTAATGGGGCTGTGGGGGTGAATAAGACAAAAAGGTTGAGAAGCACAGGATAACGATATAACTGTACCATACAAAGGAGTGCATTTTATTACACAGGCCATATGCATAGAGATGGGAATCATAAAGAATTTATCGATTTTGCTTAAGTCTCACGGTGAGCTGAAAGCTGTATGTTTTTGATTAATGAAAAAAAAAAATGGCTCAAGAGACATTTGTCCAATAATCAGACTAAAGTACAGTGGTTGCACAGTAAGTGTTTGGTTCACTAAAAATAACCCACTCACTAGAGACATTTGTTCAGGAATTGGACTTCTCTGGTTACACTGCATGTGTTTGATTCACTAAAAACAAACGGCTCATTAGAGTAATTTGCTTTGTAATCAGACTACAATAGTTGTACACTACAGGATGTGTTTGATTCACAAAACAAATCAACTCATTTGCTCCCTAATCAAATTACACTGGTTGTGTTGTATATTTTGATTCTCTAAAATGAACTGGCTCATAAGAGTCATTTGCACTTGTAAAGAGACTACACTGATTGTGTTGTATGTTTTTTAATTCAATAAAAAGAATCGACTCATAAGAGTATTATGTATAATCAGACTGCACAGGCTACGTTTTCTGTTTCCCGCTGTAGATTCAATAGCGTCATTCAGGTTCTGAATTTGAACCAGTTCTTTGTTCCCAACCTATGACATTATTATTATTATAAGTTTATTTTTCTATTATACTTCACCCAAGAGTCAATCTGCTTATTGAGCATCATTAGCTGAACGAAAGACTCAGCGCACTTATCTCCCACACTCATCTCCAGAGTGTTTGGGCCTCTATCCCACCTCTGAATGAGACAGATTGTTTCACAGCGAGTGGTGCTTGCAGGTTCAGGTCACTGGCCACACACAAGAATAATCTTCTAACAAAACTGAAAGAGTGCCACATAGCTTTGGAGATTTATTATTTCAGCACTCGACTCATCTCCACTGCCTTCCAGGAATGAAAGCTCCAAATTAGAGTAGAAATTTTACTTCATGAATGTCTCCCCTCTCTTAGTCTTGTTGCCATTCCAAGACCTTATTCTCTCTTTCCCATTTTCTCTTTTTCTGTATATCTGTGGCTCCAGGCCAGCGCTTCGCCATGATGGAGGAGAAGGTAGTTCTTGCTACGATCTTGCGTTACTTTGACGTAGAGGCATGTCAGAGCCGTGAGGAACTGCGGCCTCTGGGGGAACTCATTTTGCGTCCCGAGAAGGGCATTTGGATCAAACTACAAAGAAGAACCAAATAACTCTCACCACCATTAAAACTTAAGGTTGCTTCAGTCCTCACATCACAGACAGTTGTTGTGCTGCTAGCGTTGTTGTTCTGCTAGCTTTGAGGAGACTCAAACGCAATGTGCTGTCATTTTTGTATTTTCTGTTATTGATTATATGGATAATTCTGTGGAATGGATGGTAAAAGGAGAGCTGAAAGTACCAGATTCTTATCATTAGCTGAAGGCGTAATAAAATTAGCAAAATGTCTTATAAACAAACACTCAAAGCGAGGCAGATTTCTGATTCCATGTGGACCTAGTTATAAGTTAGAAATAGTAAATAAGCCAAGATAGGGTGATCGGTTAATTGACAACCTCAACACTGCTACATACCATAATGTACATGAAATATTGATTTAAGTTGAAATTATTTTATTATATGAGAAAAAAGAGACCGCAGAGTGTTGTACATTAAACTAGCACAGCAAGTGCGACAATGATGAACTATAGAGTTTAGTGGTCATTCAATAAATATATTTAACCACAGAATGTCATAGTTGAATTGAATTGGAATCAAGTAAATCAACTCAATTGAGGCAACTTTTTGTGCACATTTGCAGTCTAGTTTTCCCTTTATAATGTTGAATTGTCTTTCATTCTCACTTGCACTTCTTTAAAGTCCCTGTAAAGTCAAAATTAAGTATGCGTTCTGAGTTTGTCATACCACAGAAAAATGTGTTATTAGCCACCCAGCCAAATTTGAATGATAAAAAAGCCACCAAGTAAATAAAATAAAATATCAAAATCTTGAAAAAATGCTCAAACGCTCAAAATCTCAAACGCTGGGGGCGTGTCCGCTGGCTGCGCTGAAACCACGCCCACTCGCAGGAAAGCTGCCGACGGTGATATTAGGACAAGTGATACTGCTTTCGGGACGGGAGGATGAAGGCCGAGGCGGGAGATAGTCGGTTCGGCCCCATTCACCAGTAACAGCGGATTGTCAGTGAATCCCAGTTGTCTCCGACGAAAGTTTATAAAACTATCCAGTGTAAAATGATCACTACAGAGGTGGGTTTTGGTGTTGATCCTCAGCTTTCAGTCAAGGTGGCTCTTCACAATATTAATCCACCTCTTCTTGATGTGATCGTTTTTCGGAAAATGAATAAGGACACGATCTGTTTTGTACGTGATCGCATCCAGGTAGTAGTACGCATTTCCGTGACGAAGGCATAGCTAGCTAGCAAACTGTAGGCTGTAGTAACTAATTGTACTGACAGTAACTCGCAATAGGCCTATTTCACAAAAATGGCCGCCGAGACCGGAAGTAGAGTAAACTCTTTTCCGGTGAAAGCGCTAGCAGTTGCAGTCGGAGGACAAATGCGGAGACTAAAAGCGTCCAGTCCTGTTGCGTACCTTTTTGTTTCAACTCAAAGAAGAAACAATAATATTTATCACTTCACATCTTTCCGTGTTTTCATGGAACAACTGGGGTGAAGTTAAATCACGCCAGACACAGACGTCAAAAAGACGTGTGTGAAGGAGGAAGCAGAAGTTGAAATCATGTGTTGATACCGGTTCGGAAGTGATGCCCCGACAAAACATGTTTATATTGCACTTGATTGTTATCTGATTTGCACGTTATGCACTTTTATTTATTATTATTAACTGTTGGCAAATTTAAATTGTTTGTAGAAGTTGTTTTCTGTAACTGTCTGTAAATTTTTACCTGGGTGCGCTTTGCCAGGCCTGCTGTTTACTTGTGCAAGCAAGGGCAGCTGGAACATTTATTAAACATGTAGAATACTTTCCTAACCGTTACATATAGTGTTATAAATTCAGACGTTCATGATATAAAACAAATAAACATATTAGAATAACTTTTAAAAGTTTGAGTGAACACAGAGCAGTTTTTCCCGTGAGTGGGACGGGAAAACCCGGAGTGGATCAGGAGGGGAGTGATGGCAGAACGCTTAGAGTGCAGAGAGGAACGTGCTTTTGCTCCACTCCAGGCTTTGATCACATCCCCCTAAGCAGGGTGAGCACCTCGTTCTTCCTTAATTTAAGACCCATTCAAACTAAAATTAAGACATTTATTACACTATTTGAAAAATGTAAGCATATTTACGGCCTTAAAATTATGAAAAGTAAATTTAAGACATAAGGACAGGGGGAACCCTGATATTGACGGAAATCCGTCGTATACTCTCTCGTAGCGATGGAGAACTTTAATCCCTGTATATATATGAAGTGTATTACTGAATATAAAATTACATACATTATATTATATACCAGCAGCCATGTCACCCTGTAGCCCAAGACTGGTTCCCCACTGAAGCTAAGCAGGTCTGAGCCTGGTTAGTACCTGGATGGGAGACCTTCTGAGAAAACCAGGTTGCTGCTGGAAGAGGTGTTAGTGTGGCCAGCAGGGGGTGCTCACCCTGTGGTCTGTGTGGGTCCTAACGCCCCAGTATGGTAATGGGGACACTATACTGTCAAAGAGCACCGTCCTTCGGATGAGACGTTAAACCGAAGCCCTGACTCTCTGTGGTCACAAAAAATCCCAGGATGTCTTTCGAAAGAGTAGGGGTGTAACCCCGGCATCCTGGCCAAATTTGCCCAGTGGCCTCTGTCCATCACGGCCTCCTAATAATCCCCATATATATATACCAATTGGCTTCATCACTCTGTCTCCTCTCCACCAGTAAGCTGGTGTGTGGTGGGCGTTCTGGCGCAATATGGCTGCCGTCACATCATCCAGGTGGATGCTGCACACTGGTGGTGGTTGAGGAGATTCCCCCTTCTGTGTAAAGCGCTTTGAGTGCAGAGAAAAGCGCTATATAAATGTAATGAATTATTATTATTATTATATATTAGTAAATATATTGTCTCACATTTTTAAATATATGAAAATTCCTTATGTATTATTCAATATATATTGTAATATATTAACACCATATATTATTCTGTATATTATTCGGACGTCAAAAAGACGTGTGTGAAGGAGGAAGCAGAAGTTGAAATCATGTGTTGATACCGGTTCGGAAGTGATGCCCCGACAAAACATGTTTATATTGCACTTGATTGTTATCTGATTTGCACGTTATGCACTTTTATTTATTATTATTAACTGTTGGCAAATTTAAATTGTTTGTAGAAGTTGTTTTCTGTAACTGTCTGTAAATTTTTACCTGGGTGCGCTTTGCCAGGCCTGCTGTTTACTTGTGCAAGCAAGGGCAGCTGGAACATTTATTAAACATGTAGAATACTTTCCTAACCGTTACATATAGTGTTATAAATTCAGACGTTCATGATATAAAACAAATAAACATATTAGAATAACTTTTAAAAGTTTGAGTGAACACAGAGCAGTTTTTCCCGTGAGTGGGACGGGAAAACCCGGAGTGGATCAGGAGGGGAGTGATGGCAGAACGCTTAGAGTGCAGAGAGGAACGTGCTTTTGCTCCACTCCAGGCTTTGATCACATCCCCCTAAGCAGGGTGAGCACCTCGTTCTTCCTTAATTTAAGACCCATTCAAACTAAAATTAAGACATTTATTACACTATTTGAAAAATGTAAGCATATTTACGGCCTTAAAATTATGAAAAGTAAATTTAAGACATAAGGACAGGGGGAACCCTGATATTGACGGAAATCCGTCGTATACTCTCTCGTAGCGATGGAGAACTTTAATCCCTGTATATATATGAAGTGTATTACTGAATATAAAATTACATACATTATATTATATACCAGCAGCCATGTCACCCTGTAGCCCAAGACTGGTTCCCCACTGAAGCTAAGCAGGTCTGAGCCTGGTTAGTACCTGGATGGGAGACCTTCTGAGAAAACCAGGTTGCTGCTGGAAGAGGTGTTAGTGTGGCCAGCAGGGGGTGCTCACCCTGTGGTCTGTGTGGGTCCTAACGCCCCAGTATGGTAATGGGGACACTATACTGTCAAAGAGCACCGTCCTTCGGATGAGACGTTAAACCGAAGCCCTGACTCTCTGTGGTCACAAAAAATCCCAGGATGTCTTTCGAAAGAGTAGGGGTGTAACCCCGGCATCCTGGCCAAATTTGCCCAGTGGCCTCTGTCCATCACGGCCTCCTAATAATCCCCATATATATATACCAATTGGCTTCATCACTCTGTCTCCTCTCCACCAGTAAGCTGGTGTGTGGTGGGCGTTCTGGCGCAATATGGCTGCCGTCACATCATCCAGGTGGATGCTGCACACTGGTGGTGGTTGAGGAGATTCCCCCTTCTGTGTAAAGCGCTTTGAGTGCAGAGAAAAGCGCTATATAAATGTAATGAATTATTATTATTATTATATATTAGTAAATATATTGTCTCACATTTTTAAATATATGAAAATTCCTTATGTATTATTCAATATATATTGTAATATATTAACACCATATATTATTCTGTATATTTTCAAATATACTGTTAAACCATTTAATATATTGATCATTCACATATAGGGAAATATATTTTCATAAGGGGACCCCAGACAGTAAAATGTGATTTTGTAACATCATGATTTTTTTAAAACATGTAATATCACTCACTTCGTTCATGTTTTTAGTCTAACCATTTTTTAATTATTTGCCTTAATTTCATTATTAGACCTACTAGCAACGTTAAGTCAAATTCACTGTAAAGATGTACAATTCTTAGTTTCATTCATGGTGGTAACATGAAAAATGAGCCATAATCTAGTGGAAGATTGCTGCAATCTCCTAGAAAAACTAACACTTAATAACATGAAATTTGAACAAAAGCCACTAGATTTCACTCATAGCCTACAATCAGACATCATTTCAATGTATTTATGTATTTTGTTTAGCTATAGTACGTGTGAGCTTAGTCATCAAGTGTCATGCCATTTAAATGAATGGAACTTTTTTTTTATGTAAGCAAACGTCAAGAATTTGTAACCTTTGTCCAATTTCGATCTTTTCACAGCTCCCTGAAAACTATCAACAAAACGGACAACATCTGCTATTCTTACTTTTGTCAGATATATTAATGACTGAGAGAGAAAACAAGCTATTCACAATCTATTTTGAGAATGAATGGGGATCGTAGCGGGCGGCGGCCCGACCGCAAGTATCGCTACCCTACTTCCGGTCTCGGTCGCCATTTTGTGAAATAGCTGTGTCCATAGACAGTAAAAGAAATGGACACAGCGACCCC